AGCTGAAGAAGCGACAGATATTAGTAACCCTTCCGAAACAGAGCAAATATAGAGCGTTAGGAACCAACAAATTTAGACAATTGTTCCTACTAAACCCACAAAACCTGCGCTTTTGATATAAAATCTGGAAAAATTATCCAGGTTTTCAAATGCCGCTGTATGCAGCGCTTTAGAAACTACAACTAGTAGAAGACCACTCGGTTGTTTGTAGTTTTAGCTGAAAAAATGACAAATATTCCCATTAAACTCAAGAAAGTTGCAACTTTTGCTCGTAAACTTCGCGGATTTCAATCGTTACTTCTTCGTTGAATTATGGAAAAGCCATAGAGTTGATCTATTTGTAACCGAACTAACCCAAAATAGCGCCGAAAAGACCAGAAAATTTCGCTCAATTTGCCCAGACTTACACTAACCAGAGCGCAAAGTTGTAAACCCTTCCGAAACAGAGCAAATATAGAGCGTTAGGAACCAACAAATTTGGACAATTGTTCCCACTAAACCCACAATAACTGCGATTTTGATCGAAAATCTCGAAAAATGATACAGGTTTTCAAATGCGGCTTTATGCATCGCAGTAAAAATTACAACTAGAGGAGGAAAACACGGTTTTTTTTACACAAATATTCCCACTAAACTCCAGAAAATTGCTACTTTTGCTTCCAAAATCGAACCTTCTCGGATTACAATCGCTATTTCTTCGTTGGATGATCGAAAACCCTTCGAGTAAATCGACTTGTAGTCGAATTTACACAAAAGATCGAGTAAGCGACAATTATTTCTACCATTTCAGTAGTATTTTGCCAAATTTCCTGCAAATTTCGCTCAATTTTCTCAGGTTTACAGCAACCAAACCGCAAGGTTGTAAATCCTTTTGAAACAGAGCAAATATAGAGCGTTAGGAACCAACAAATTTGGACAATTGTTTCCACTAAATCCACAATAACTGCGCTTTTAATAGAAAAACTGGAAAAATCATCCAGTTTTTGAGGTGTGGCTTTATTCAGTGCATTGAAAATTACATTTAGCGAAAGAAAACTTGATTTTTTGCAGTGCTAGCAGCAAAAAACGACAAATATTCCCACTAAATTCAAAAAAATTGTCTGCTATGCTCTCAAAGAGAAACCTACTTGGATTTCATACGCTGTTTTTTCTCTGTGATAAAAAATCTTACAATAAATCGACTTGTGGTCAAATCCATATGATCTGCCAAGAAAAAGACAATTATTTGCACCATTTCGGTAGTATTTGGCCCAATAACTCAAAATTTCAATCAATTTGCTCACCTTTGCCCCAACCAGAGCATACATTTTCAAATGCTTCCTAAGCAAAGCGATGGCACATAAAAGCGACAATTGTTGCCACGAAATCCACAAAAAATGCGGTTTCGATTGAAAAACCGCAGTTTTCCCCAAAAAATACTTCATTAATCAGGGATTATCGAACATTTGGCACCATTAACTTCAGTTCACTTTTGAGACGAGAACAGCACTTTGCATGGCAGGAAAGCGGTCAGCCCAGATAAGAGTAATGAATCAAGTCACAGTGGGGAAGAATGAAGAATACAAAAGACGCGTTCTTCAGCTGGTGGTTGTTCATAAAGCCGCTCAATTCTTAATGGTTTTGACCCAATTTGGGTTTTGTGTTGGCCTACATTCACGGAAGCATGTAATGGACCTTTTCTCAACCGTCGATTTGGGGGGTGGTAAATTTTGCCACACAAAATTTGCAGTTTGAAGAAGCAAAACAAGTAAAAAGACGCGAAAAGAACACAACAAAAACGGTCAGTTTTTGGCGATTTTTGGACACTGAATGGTTTATCGGTAACTGGGACAAAGACACTAAACCGGCTTGATCTTTGGCAAATTCGATGCATTGTTTGGGTCAACCGCTGTCCATTATCCTCCAGGGTGGCAATAAATTGCTGAAGACAAATCGATTCTGAAGGGTTGCTAGAAGAAACAGTTGGGGAAATTAATACGGCGGGGAGCTTAATTGGGCCCTGGTTTGAGGACGAAGGAAACGAAGTTTCTGTTTGAAAAACTGAGCGTTATAAAGTCACAAATTGGTCAATGAAAGTCGAGGGTTTGGTTATTGTATAGAAGAAGTCGATTAATTCGGCTCGTTAGGCTTGGAACAGGCCCGAACACACACCGGTTGCATAGCCGGTAATTTAAATTTCAACAGAGCCAACATCTAAATTTTCGAATAATAAATTAAAGAATGCATAATAATTCGGCCATTTTGGCCTGGGAAGCCGGAAACGGGGGCCATGATGCGTTTGAAGATTCTCCTAGATTAGAACCCGGGGCTGAACCCGGTGCTTCCTGCGCTGGCCAATCGAAGAAAGAGTTGCGACCGGAAGCGAACAATTACATTGTTGCTTTTTTGCGAAACTGAACAGGCCAATTTGCTCGCTTTCATTAACAAAAAAAACAGCTCCTCCATCCATATAACGCCCATTATGGCAACAAGCAGATGGATAAAGGCGATTGTTTATTCAAGGGCCTTTCAGCGTGTAACGCGAGCCCGATTCCGGGGACATTTCATCAAATTGCTACTCTAAAAGCGAAGATAAAATCAACAATTTATTTCGAATAAAATTATGTCTTTGTGTACCTTTGTGTCCGATCGTTTCAATCGCAGAAACTAATCTTTTTTTAATCTACCGGACTCCATCTCTGCTCGTCTTTGTTGTTATTTCAGGGCTGATTCAAGAGACAGAACTTTACCGTTTTGGTTGTTTTCGCAAGTAAAAAGGGAAAAAAACCGATTTCCTTTCACATCGACGATCGATCTGTATCACTTTGCCCAGAAGACAATCATTCCGAAGGAAACAATTGGATTGTGATGCCAGGGATTTTTCCTCTTGATATTTGAGTGCTCGCCATTCAATGTGATAGGCTAGAGTGGATTGCTTGATGCTTTTCACATATTCTACACCTTTATTTGTTAGTTCTGTTCAATGTTCACTTTCTAAACTTGAAAAAATTAATTTTATAAGCTCGAGAGTGTCTTCAGGGCCCCTTTAAAGTTCAGAAACAACTGAAGCTTTCTCGTTGGATTGCTTTGAAAGTTTTTTTTTAATAGTTAATAGGAACCTTGCAACTTTTTGAAGAAAAACTCTGTTGGACGCTGATTATTGAATTTTTAGGCAGTTGCTTAGAGAAATTTGGCCCCGTCGTTTCCAAACTCTTCCACCCGAAAGTTTTCGTTTTGTGAGAACGTCCCTTTTCTTAAAAAAATTGTAATTCCCCAGATGGGCCGCTTATTTAAAGGGTAATTGGAGACCAGGTATCAGTCTACATAAATTTTACCTTATTTTGTATTAAAAATGAGTTTTCAGACTCCGCCAAAGTTGCACCCGAAAATGTGCAACTTTGTAAAAATTTCAAACTTTCGAAAAAAACTCGAGTTGCTAACGATTTAGTCCCAGTTGCAACAAATGTGGGCTTATTTTTTCAAAGGAATGTTCTAGAGAAGATGTCAGTCCACACTTAGATGCAAATTTCTCTTATTTTATATAAAAAAAGAGTTTTGAGACTCCGCCAAACTTACACCCAAAAGTTTGCAATTTTCAAGCCAATTCACATTTTCTTTAAAAAATCATCACTCCCAGTTGCAACAATTGTGGGCTTATTTTTTCAAAACAAGGTTATAAAGAAGACTTCAGTCTACACTTGGAACAATAATAACCGCATTATACAAGTAAAGGCTGATTTTTCAGAGGCCTTCAGCTTGCAAGAAACATTGGCGATTTCTAACCAGCGCACACTCTCGAAAAAAATTCGAAATTTTCAGTTGCTGGTGAGTTTGGATGTTTTGAATCTACCGAAAGTAGAGAAGAAATCATTGTCACAAAAAAATGTCTCTGAACTAGCCAAAGTATGATTTTTCAGAGAAAGCGAAACTTGCACTCGAAATTTCACTGCGGCTCCTGTTGCATGGGCCGCAGATTATTCCATGCCCATATCGCGAAAGAACAGTTAAAACAAAGTGGGCGCACATCTGAAGATGAGTGGGCATGAGTGCTAGGGAAACGTCAGGATCAACTAGGCTTAAAAACTCGCTTAGACTTAACTTGGAAGTTAGGCTGTCTACAGGTGAAATTTCTTCAAAAGTAATGAAAACTGAGGAAAAATCCCGTAAAGCCAGTCAGAAGAGATTAGTTTGGAATCGCGCCCACTCGCCTTTGGAGCCTAATTAGAAATAATTCCCCCCTAAACGGCCATTCGGGCTCGATCAATCAAAATACCTGCCCTATCTTTAATCTGTTTCAACAGCACCGGAATAACTCATTCACAAGGTGATATATTTTAATTATCGCCCCGAAAGCAGCCTCTTAAATTAGAAAACAACCATTTTCCTTTCTTCGGAATGAAATATACATTAAGCGGGCCACGAATTTCATAATTACCGTACAGATGCATCCAAGCCCCCAATTGAAATGTTTGTGAACTGTGGGAAAATTTCCCACTCCGTCCAATGAAATGCCGTCAAAGCCAACAATGCACTTTAAACCTTTTCTGGACACGAGAAATAACAAAAATACCGCGTAGTATTGAAAATGGGAAATAAACTTGCAATTTCTCGGGCCCTCTAATTGCCTGAAAGTCCCAAAGCGGCGAAATTTCCAAATCAGAAACAATAAAAGCCACTCGTTATGGGCTGTAAATCCTTTTCCGACCAGTCGCAATAGACGACAGCAAAAATCTGCTTAATCGAAAAATAGTCGCGATTCAACTTGAAAACTTTTCGGAAAAAACCGGCATGAATTCTTTAGCGAATCGTGCGGGCGACGGTCGACAGAGAACTTTCCAAATTTCGTTGCAAAAGGGGCTGTTGAGTGACTTTTGAATTTTTTATTATCCCTCGGTCCTTCACATAATACACCCCAAAGCCACTAAAACGAGATTCCCATCAAAAGACTTTGTAGTTTTTACCTGAGCTGGTCCCAATCCCAACCGATTATTCGTGTGGATTCACCCAAAGGAAAAAGCAAGTAATTTAAAAAATGTCTTTTATTCATAAATTAATTGTTTCAATGTACAATATCCAACAGTCTTTAAATATTAATAAAATCCTGGCTATTTACACACAATAAAATTAATGACTAATAAGCGTTTAAACAATCGAGAGTGCATGTCGCAACTGGTTCAAACAGTTCTGCACGGTCTCGTGGGGGCGTCCCCCCTGTTAGAAATTAATTTTAACTTGACCAAATATTTACAAAAGTCTGGCAAGGTTTCAAGCCTTTTGAATCGAGGTTTTTTGGGACGTCGTGTATGTTACAAGTGTTAAGCCTGGGCATTTTAAAATGAGCGCGATTTGATCAAATTTGTTGCGATTTTCTAGAGAAGCAAAAGCTTAAAGAGAAAAGAATGAAGTTGAACCATGAAATTTGACGGCTGAAAACCGCCGGGTTTTGCCCGTTTTTTAATTAAATTGGTGAGGAAACTTCGAAATTGGGGAAGCTTTTTCAATTTTCAGGTTAGTTGAATAGTTGCAAGTCGAAAAAAAAGGGGCCAAATAGTGTAGAAGTGTAGAAAAACCCGCGAGTTTTTGGTCATGTTGCAACAAAATTGATCAAAAACAGTCGGGCACGAGACTGGTCGAGATTAATCAAGAGCAAATTAGGGCTCGGCACAGCTTCAGCATCAAACTGTGAAAAGAGTTGAATTAAAAACGCCGAAATTCAGTTTGAAAACCATCGAACCCCGGCAAGAAGGCGTCCCAAACGTGAAACCCCGCTCAGACCAAAAAAATTACATCAGAATACACAATAGCGCCGATTACACATATTAGTAATAGTAGCAGTAGTAGTAGTGGCGGTAGGAGTAGTGGATCCACAATAGAAAAAAATAAAATATAGCATTTACAAGTAGAACAGCCTTTGAAAAATGTCGAGTTGAAACCGCCCGTGCGATTGGTGGCAAGCGAACCATCTTCAATTACGTATCACAAAGCACTTAGACAAAGTACGTTCGCGATTGGGGTGGCACATCCGGAATCGTCGAGTAAACGTGATGGGGAACCTCCACACGGCACCCGGGCGGGTACTGCGAATACTGGGGCGGCCGCCCATCGATACTAACGTAGCTGTGGTTCAGCTGCTCGGAACCATAATGCTGGGAGCTGGCGCTGGAGCCCTCGTCCTCGGTGCTGCGATTGGACTCGCCCCCCGACACATAAGTGCTCTGAGTCGGAGTGGGGGTAAGGGTGGGGGCTAGCACCCCAGCCATCGCCTGGTATTTGTACCAAGTGTCGCTATGTGGGGGGCTGGTGTAGCGGGCGCTGGCTTTGCAGCGGATTTCCGGCTGTTTTTTGCGCCGGTTGCCAATCACATCCGGCATGGCGTAGCGCAGCTTCTCCCAGAAGCGCCGCTCGCCCCATCTGGTGACTGCGCACGCTCTGAGCAGGGCGCGCAGCTCCGGATCCATCGGTTCTAGCGGATCGCCGCTCAGCACGCACACCAGCTTCTCACGGTAGCTGGAGCGCAGCGCCGCCTGGAGTGCTGCGCGGAACTCTGGCTTGATCCATTCCGCACCAATAAGAGCGGGGGAGACGATGAAGAGCACGCGTTTGGAGGCGTCCGCTGCCCCCACCATTGCGTCCGCTAGGTAGGAGGCGCCGTTCAACAAGTGCAGATCTCGGTAGTGCAGACACAGAGTGTGGCCGAAGGCTTCCAGCTCTGGGGCAATGATGCGAGCGGCCAGCTCCTCGTCCTTGTGACTGTAGATCATGTAGCAGTCGTACATCTGGTCCTGGTCGTCGCTACTGGACTGCTTTTCCTGGAAGAACCTGACGCCGTACTTGTAGTGCGCCCACAGGCGCACTTCCTGCCGGAACGCGAATATGAGAGAGAGGAGCGTACAGAGGACGATGACGGTCACCAGAGTGGCCGCCAGCAGGGGTACGTAGTTGGCCACCATGTGGCCCTTGACCTGCTCGCGCTGCACCACGGAGGTGGCGATGGCGTTGTCCAGATCATCACACTTGTTAAGGGCGTCCGCCACTGCTTCCTCGCGATCCGAACAAAGCAGCCTGGCCGGGTCGCCCCCGGACGCCCGGATCCAGGCCTGGAGCCGCCCAAGGGCGGCGCAATCACATGACCACTTGTTCCCATTGAGAGACACACGGGCAGCTGACGCCTGCTGCAGCTGCCACGGCGGAAAGTTCACGATGCGATTCTCGTCCAGCTTCAGCACCTCCAAGTGATGCATGTTCCGGAAAGTCTGGTTGCCCACAAACCCGATCCGATTGTGATCCAAATACAGCTCATTGATATTCTCCAGCTGGTCGAACTCGAATCCCCGCAACTCCTCCAGCTGATTGTCCTCAATGTGCAGCACCCTCAACGAGTTGACGCCATTAAAGGTCTGGTTGTGCAGCGTTTTCACGTTGCTGTTGTTCAGAAACAGCACCTCCAGCTTCTTCTTGCCGATGAAAACGTGGCTGCCCAACTCGCCCAGATCGTTGCCATCCAGGTAGATCTCAGTGGCGTCCATCGGGATGTTTTGTGGGACGGTTTTATAGCCCGCGCTGCTGCAGTCGACCACGTTTGAGGTCCAGGTGTGGTCGTGGAAGCAGCTGCAGCGGTCTGGGCAGGTCATTTCGCAGTCGCAGGCGTCGAAGTCGCAGCAGTGGCAGAGGGCGAAGCAGTGCGCCTGGTAGGGACAGAGGAAGTTCGATGGTTTGAGCCTCAGTAGGGGCTGGGGAGGCGCGCCCCTGGAGTGCGCCAGCTCGCATGTGATGTCGTCCAGATCGAGCACCTGTGGACAAGTAGAGCAAGTTATATTACCGGTCTGTAGGGCGAATCATAATGAATCAGAAGACACCAAGTCTTTGGACATTTAGGAGGTTCCCCAATAAAGGCTTGCAGACTTGAGGATTTTTTTTCAGTAGCAACGCGGCTTTTTTAGAAAATTTTCTATTGTGACTAGTAAATCGCGTGTCAAAGACGAAGAGTTGAGGAGTGTTTGCGGCATAAGGGTTTCAAAATTCAAAGGGGGATTTTTAAAAAAATTGTGTTTTTTGGCAGGCAATCCCGCATTTTTTCGGCGATTTGTGTTTGTTTCAAACGTTTTGGAGATTATTGCAAGCAAATGTCCATTGGTCCATTGTAGTCAAAACCTCCCGGAAAGTTGGCAGTTTTTCAATGGCAATGTTGCATTATTTGCTATTTCCTGATTGCTTGGGGAAATTTGAACATTTTTACACAAGGTTTATTTAAGAGATTTGTAAATTGGAAACTCGCAATTTTTTCGACGTTTCGTGCTTTTCCACGACATTTGCAAGGTTTTTGATCAGGAACACCCCATAGTGTAAGCCAATAGTTTTGGAGATTTTCGAACATTTACATTTTGCTGATTACCAAAGTACGTCCTAGTAAAAACATCCGGAAAATTGGCAGTTTGTCACTAGCGCAATGTTGCACTGTTTGGCATTTTCTGATTCTAAAGGAAATTTCAAACATTTTATGCCTCATGATGCCTTTGCAACTTTAACGGTTGAGGAGTTTTCGCAATGTGAAGTTTTCAGTAAGCGCCACTAATCTCCAATTCAACAAAAAAATGTAAAAACCGACTATTTTGAAAGGCGACAGTAAATTTTTTGACGTTTCATGGTGGCCCGCGGCATTTAAAAAATGTTTCGTTCAGAAGACTCCAAAGCAAAACCCGATAGTTATGGAGATTTTTTGATATTTACATTGCAGTAGGTAGTGAAGCTTCACCCTCTGGCCAAATGCTCGAAAAATTGGCATTTTCTCAATCACAATGTTGCCTTGCTTCATATTTTCTGGTGGAGAAAGAAAGTCTGAGCATTTTTTGATTCGTTAGTTTTCTTTGCAACTCTCACGGTTGAGAAGTTTTCCAGATGTAAAGCTTTCAGTAACCGGCACTATTCGGGAATTCGAAAAGTACTGGAAAACTGACTATTTTCGAAAACAGCAACGCATTTTTGGTTCGTAACAATTCTCAAGGAAAGTTTAAACATTTTGTGTCTGATGAATATTCTTTGCAGCTTCAACACCCTTGGGGAGTTTTTGCAATGTAAAACTTTCCGTAAAAGCCACTAAGCTCAAATTCGAAAACTTGGGGAAAATCGGCTAGTTCAACTGCGTTACGTGATTTTCCACAGCATTTGGAAGATTTTTATTCGGAACAGTCCATCGTAAAACCGAATAATTTCGGAGATTTTTAGATTTTTTGATTCGGCGTCTTTCTAAAGCACATTGTAGGGAAAAAACCGGCAAAACTCGCAGTTGCTCTGGAAAACCTGGAAACTTGGAATATGCAATAAAAGTACGGCATTCGATTTATAAAAAGGTAAGTTTGGTTTGCCACTTTGACTGACTTTGGAACACCCTGCATCAATAAGTATTATCTTAAAATAAACTAGACGTAAAAACCAGGAATATTTAACATTTATGTCTAAATCTCAAATTAGATGCACAAACGGGGTGGCCAAAGTTCAAAATTTCTTTATCTGTTAGAGGAGGAAATTGTGAACATTTTTTGTCCAGTGAATGTTATTCGTTAAACGAACGGTTGGGGAGTTCTCGCGATGTAAACCCTACGATAAACGGTTGCACCATGAAAATCGAAAGCCAGCCAATGCCAATTTGGAATGTTTAGAATGGAGACAATAGTCTAGAAAGTATAGAAAGTAGCCACTACTTTGTAAAGAATCCTTTCACTTCTTGGCCAAAGAAATAGTCCCATAAACCATTAGAACGCTTTAGAAAAAATTATTGCAATAGGGGTTTGTTACCGGCACCTGAGACCGAATTGCTTTCTCAGTGGGAGTCTTAAGCTATTCACTCAGGCTTTGGTGCGTGTATAGGGAACAATTGGCAAGTCTCGGCTATTTTATCAAGCCACTGTTCCCAAAAAATGAACAAAAAACATTACGAATTTACCTACCTGAGGGTATTGTCTCAGATTGCTCAAATGATTGATGCGCAGCAGCCATTCCATCTTACAATCGCAGTAAAACGGGTTGCCCCCGATGTAGAATTGAGGCAAATCCTTGTCGTCGCTCACTGGACTCAAATTGAGGGCCGACAGGTCCAGATAGCGAATCTTGTTGCCATAAAGCACGACTTTTTCTAGATGGTTCTTATGCGTGAAGGAGTTGGGCGCCACTGAGGCAATCCGATTGTTTTGCAAATAGAGCGTCTCGACACTATCGGGAATGGCATTTTCCTGGATCATTGTAATCAGGTTGTAGCTCACATCCAGCATTTTGATCCTCAAAGTGTTGCGCACATCGTAATAGTTGCCCAACTCAGGGATTTCATTGGCGTGCATGTCCAGCCACTCCAAACTGAGCGGTAGATGACTAAAGTCGAACCAAAGCAACTTATTGGAGGAGACGTTCAACCAAACAAGGCTCTGCAGGTTGGTGAACACGCCACTGATGTCAGTCAGCTCATTGGCGTCCAGTCTGATGGCCTTTAGAGTAGGATTGCTGGCAAAGGCGCTTTGCTCCACATGTTTGATGCGATTCGAAGCCAAATTGAGCACTTGCAAGGAGGGCAGCGTCGAAAAAGCGTCTCTCGATATATTCACAATGTGGTTATCAACCAGCCGCAGCCCGTATAAAAGATCCAGGCCTTCAAAAGACGCATTTGTGACCGATTCGATGCGGTTCTTGCCCAGATCGAGGGTTTTCAGGAAGCGCAATTGGCCTATCCCTGTCGGGATGCCACCGAGCATGTTTCCGTTCAGTCCAAGGTCTTGCAGATTCGTCACGTTCTCGAACGCTTTCGGATGAATGTGCTCGATTTCGTTCTGGTCGATCAGCAGCTGATTCAATGCGTACATGCCAGTGAAATGATAGGCCTCAATGCGGGTGATCTGGTTATGGCTCAGTGTTAAAGCGTGCAGATTCTTTAGCTCGCTGAACGCCCCCTCGGACATGGCGCTGATGCGATTCGCCTCCAGGTTCAAAATCTGGAGAGTGTAGAGGTCGTGGAACAGCGCGCCATCTATGCGGTCCAGCTGGTTGTTGGCCAGATTGAGCACGACCAGGCGCACCAGGCCGGAAAACGTGTCGCGGTTCACCCAGCGGCTGCTGAGCTCGTTGTGGGAGAGATCCAGAACCTTCAACTGATCCAGCCCTTCTAGCAGTCCAGGTGCCAGCACACTCAGCGAGTTATTGTGCAGGTAGAGATGCGTCAGCTGACGGGAGGACTGGAACAGCTCGGGCGGCATGGCCACCAAACAGTTGCTGGATAGATTGAGGGCCTTCAGGGCGTTGAGGCCTACAAATGCCCGATCCCCCAGAGTACTAATGGCGTTGTTCTGGAGCAGCAGCTCCTCCAGGCTTCGCAGGGCGCTGAATCCGTTATCGGGCAAGGCAATGATTTCGTTCGCACTTAAGTCCAGAACCTCCAGGCCGTTGACGCAGGCCCTGCCCGGCTCCAAGGGCCCCTTTCCCCAGTCGGAAAACCCCAGCGCCTGCACATCCTGCAGCTTGTTGCTGGTGAGGTTCAAGTGTGTGAGGCTGTACAGCGGGCAGAACAGATCCAGGGGCGTGTTCCAGATGTTGTTGTCGGCCAGGTCAAGGGTTCGAAGCTCGCTCAGACCGCGGAAGCTCTCAGAGTGCAGCTCCAAGGCCATCACCGACCACTCGGAGTTGTGGGAGCGAAGCGACAGCCTCTTGAGGTGGCGCAGCCCGCTCAGGGCGGCCGCAGGCACATTACGGATTTTGCAGTTTTCAATCTTCAGCTCTCGCAAGTGTCGCAACGGTCCCAAGAAGGGACTTTTAGTGGCTTCCAGGGAACTTTCGAAGAACAGGGCGTCGTTGCATTGGAGCATCAGCACGGCCAGCTGATCAGTCTGAGACAGGCTCAGATTGCCGATCACTTGTTCCGCGTTGTTGATGGTGCGGATTTGACAGTAGAGCATCGGCTCGGATTCGGTCTGCATTTGCCACTCGCATCCTTTGGGTGCCAACTCGAAACTCGTCAAACTTCTGCCACTCACACTCACTAGAACAATTGCGGTAACGAACAACTGGAACATTGTCAACCAAAGCGCGTTCGCTACAGCATTACCGGACCGAAGTTTACGCGACGAACGTTCGTTTATGCTTGCGAAGTGTCCGCTGTTACTCTTCAAGCGTTCGCTTCGAGACTGATGAAGGAAACGGAACGGAGAACCGACTGTTGCATGCGGCGGGACGCTGACGCTCCGCCCTTTTATCCCCTTCCTTGGATTTATATCGGGATTTCAGCTGGTTAGACTCACTGTGAATGGATGATGTCACGTGGAGTTTTGATAATGTTAACAATGTGCAAAGTGGATCTTAATCCCCCCGAACGCCCGCCCAGTGGACGGATGCGTTTTGCCATCGTTTGCAATCGGTGTGGATCAGCCCGAATCTTCTGCCTCAATTTTAATTAATTTGACTTTCATACTGAAGATTGATGCAAACCACCCCCAACCAAAATCCTACCTTATATACATTTTGAAACAAGGAAAATTGCTTACTTTTCGTAGTAAAAAGGAGCCGCTTTTTCCTTTCTGTTGCGTTTTAAGGTGCTGGAGGATAGGGAGCTGTAGAAAAAGTATCCGGGAATTGGAACAATTGCTGCCTCAAACCGACTGTTTAACTCAGAAGGAGCGCAGTTTTTTAGTGAAGTTTTTACCGTAAGCTCTCTTTTACTTGAAACTGGCTTAGTTTCGCGGGGATTTTCAATGTTCAAAAAGCAAATAGGAAGTCTTCGTCTTCCAAACGCGAATTTTCGGTGCCAGATATTTCCCGAGACAACAGAGCTGCAAGCAAATAGAACGTCAAATCTTCAAAATGAAAACCTCATTAATCCTTGTGGCAGAAAACGAGCTCGGTTGTAGAGCGATTTTCAATTTTCCAAAGGTGATAGAAAGGGAAAGTTTTGGTTTTCCACATCAAATTGTTGAACGCGAGAAATTCCTTGAAACGACGGCGGCTTCAACTCGATTTAAAGAGAAACCGTCACAACTTACACAACTTCAAACACTCTTTGCCTTGAAACTGGTTTAGTTTTTCAACGATTTTCACCATTCAAAAACTCATATAAAGAGGAACTGTTGGTCCGTTAAATCCTCCTTTTAGAGTCCCCCAGAAAGCAGAAATTCCCCCAGACAACAAAGCTTCAGAACAGTATACAGGGTGGTCCTCAACTAATGTCCAAAAATTAACTGACATATTGTTTAGGCCAAAATATTGCGTTTCAGGCAAATTTGTCTTATCCGAAAGTTAATAGATGTCGATATCTCTAACCGTTTTCGAGATATTTCACATTGAAACATCTAGTAATTTTTTGAGCTGATTGGATATCCATCTCAAATTAGATATCCAAATAAAAGAATTTTTCGCGCAAATTTTCTATTAAACAAAACATTAGGTAGTATTTATTTAGGCACGTTCAGAACTATTTTAAACTACTTTTTGAACCCAGTAAAATATTTGAAAATTATTATTTCATAATAAATGTTCAAAATGATCTCCTCTGGCTTCAATACATGTACAAATATCTCGAAAACGGTGAGAGATATCGACTTCGAACAAGTACAGATGTTTTGCTTAAAAAATATCGTAGAATGTGATTGTACCAACCGTATGACGATTTTTGAAAAGGCAAAAAAGTCCTGATGTCTTAAATGGCTCCAGACTATTGCCGCTTGCGCCCTCTACAAGCTACAAGCCCAACCAATAGGGAATTCGGATTTGCCGATCTAAAAAAACCCCAAACACAATTTTTTGTGGTACTAGTAAAACTGGTTAAAAATCTATCCAGAAAAAACGAAATTTTTATTGACAATTTGACACCCTGTATCTCGGAACCTATTAACTTTCGCATGAGCCAAATTTGCCTGAAACGCAATATTTTGGGCTAAACAATATGTCAGTGAATTTTTCGACATTAGTTGAGGACCACCCTGTATAATGAGATCTTCACAATTAAAACATAAAACGCTCACTAGCTCAAGACAGGCTTAGTTGCCCAGCGATTTTCAACTTTCGGAAAGTTATCGAAAGAGAAACTTCCGGTCTTTTGTGTGCGTTTTTGATGCAAAAAATTATTCGAGTCAATGGAGCTACAGGCGCATATAATCCGAGACTTTCAGAAGTAAACCCGCAACCGTCTTTTAACTCAAAGGGAACTCAGTTTTTCCTCGATTTTCAAGTTTCAAACAGCCAAATAAAGAGAAAATTATAATCTTTCAAACAATGAAGGGTCCTGATGCCAGAAGCTACGCGAATTAACGGAGCTACAGACCAATATAACCAGAAGCTTTCAGGACCGAAAGATCAAACGCTTCTTAACTGAAAACGAGCTCACTTTTTCTTCGATTTTCAAGTCTCAAATAGACCCATCAAGAGAAAATTCCGATGTTTCAAACAACGTTTTTTAATACCAAAAGTTCCTTGTATTAGCGAACCTATAGGACAAGATAACCTAAAACCTTCAGAATTAGAAGACGCGAACGCTCTTTAACTGAAAACAAGCTCAATTTTTCTCCGATTTTGAATTTTTAAAAACCCAAATAAAGAAGAGGTTCTGATCGTTGCAATCGATTGATCTGCTACCAGGAATTCCTCGAGTTAACGGAGCTACAGGCCGATAAAACCTGAAACCTTGAGGAGTAAAAGCCGCACACGCTTTTTAACTCAAAACAAGCTCAATTCTTCAGAGTTTCGTGTCTGAAATAACCACATCAAGAGAAATTTCCGATCTTTCAAACAACATTTTTAAATACCCCAAGTTTATCGTATTAGCGAACTTACAGGACAATTTAACCTGAAACATTAAGAACTAGAAAACGCACACATTCTTTAACTGAAAACAAGCTCAATTTTTCGCCGATTTTCAATTTTTAAAAACCCAAATTGTAAAAACCGTAAACACTAAGTAACTCGAAGCGAAAGCAGTTTTTCTCCGATTTTCAAATTTCGAAAAGCCAAATATAGAAAGAGTCTTGATCTTTGAAGAATCTTGAAAAAATTCGCGTATTAACCAAGCGACAGGCCGGTGTAAACTGAAACCCTCAGACGTAAAACCCGCAAACACTTCAGTCTCACTCTCTTTCAAACTCAAAACAAGCTCAGTTCTCCTGCGATTTTAAACCTTCAAAAAGCGGAAGAAAGAGCAGTTTTTGAACTTTCTTTGGCGTCTTGTTTATGCCCGAACTTGCACCAGACAATAAAAATACAGAGGAATATGATTTGAAGCATTCACGAAAACGCATACCTAGCTGGGTTCAGACAAACTGATTATTAAAATGACGGAATTTCACTAGAAAACTGACGCATGAGCCAAATTTGCCTGAAACGCAATATTTTGGGCTAAACAATATGTCAGTGAATTTTTCGACATTAGTTGAGGACCACCCTGTATAATGAGATCTTCACAATTAAAACATAAAACGCTCACTAGCTCAAGACAGGCTTAGTTGCCCAGCGATTTTCAACTTTCGGAAAGTTATCGAAAGAGAAACTTCCGGTCTTTTGTGTGCGTTTTTGATGCAAAAAATTATTCGAGTCAATGGAGCTACAGGCGCATATAATCCGAGACTTTCAGAAGTAAACCCGCAACCGTCTTTTAACTCAAAGGGAACTCAGTTTTTCCTCGATTTTCAAGTTTCAAACAGCCAAATAAAGAGAAAATTATTCACGAAAACGCATACCTAGCTGGGTTCAGACAAACTGATTATTAAAATGACGGAATTTCACTAGAAAACTGAGAATTTCCCGGAAATCCGTATCCAATTTTCCAGCCCTTTATTGGCAACTAAAATTTTCAAATTTTAAACAAAAACCTTCAAAGCACAGGCAGTTCTTAGACACTTTCACAGCCCTCAGGGCAATTTAAATTATCCGCATGTTTACCAGCAGATTGAAATCCATTCTCGACTTATCTGCTTGTAACATGTCGAGTTCGCATTGAAGACCTACAGGATGCGAAAAAATTATAATTGAAAATGATTTATCATTTTATTATGCAAGCTGAGCGCATCGTCGAATCCTCCATTGTAAAGCGAGTTTTTTCTTTGCTTGACGGCTGTTTTTCCAAGTGAAAAGCCACTCAAGCTTACTATCTTTGGACACATACGGGGCGTTGGAAAAGACAGGCAACATTTTAACAAAAATTATTTATTTTCGCCAAACACTCAAGAAAACTAAAAATTTCTCAACTGAATGAAGCTTCTAATCTAAGAAGCAATGGCTTTTTTGGAAATCCAACAACACATCGGAGCTTTGTGCTCTGAAAAGCCCCTAAACCTCCACATACAGAGACTCATGTTGAAACCTCAAAACCTCATTCCCAAAGCTGGTCCAATTGGGCAAAAGATAGCGAGCGAACAGCTCAAGACATTCGGGATTGTCGGCAGGCAAAAAGGGGCGCAGCACCTCGACTAGAGCTGGTTTGTGGGAATGAATGGCACTGGGGACACTCACTAGCAATCTGCTTTGAGGAACAGCCTCCCTCGGTGCCCCTTTGCAGCCAATCAGCAGATGCTCAAAGGGCTGCTTACCTGTGTCGCACACAAAATTACCCTCCGGCTACGCTGGAAAAACTAATCTGGACTCACCTGGAGGTTTAGAAAACTCACAAACTGGCTCCCCATGGACGGTCACCTTCAGCCAATGCCAAGTGGCTACTAAGTTGGCCTGCCACTTGGGAAACAGCTCTTCTTTGATGTAGTTGAGGTGCTGAGTGGAGTTGGTGCACCAAACAGCCACTAGCCCCCCTTCGTTCAACAAGGCCTCGACGGGAATGGCCTTTAAATCACAGTTATACATCATTTCGTAGGCGTGCGACGTTTTCCGCTTGCGGCGAATGTATTTGTTCCACCAAGGGGGGTCCAAAAGCACCAAATCAAACTGCCTGCCATTCAGCGCTTTCCCAACACCCCTAATGTCCTTGCAAAAGAACTGGCAGTTTTCCGGAAACATATACCTGGAGCCCTGGATAGTTTGGACGGTGGCAGGGCCCCAATTACAGCCCGACACCTTTCTAACCGGGCATTTGCCTGACTGTTCATAAACCAACTCTGCGGTGTTCAATGCTCGCGTGTTTTTAACTAGGTCCCCTTGCAACTTCTTAACAAGCCCCTGCTCCCTTAAAACAGGCAGCAGCTTGCAGTACTTAATACGAACTTCGCTGATTTTGGGCGGCAGCTTGCAACAAGGGGGCTTTCTAGCCTTTGCAACGCCCCTAAAAGTGTACGGCGAGATGATTTCGAACAAATCCCCATTGACCTTCAGAGCCGGCTCCACAGGAGCTATGGAATTGAGGTAGTTTTCCATGCTTAAAACTACAGCTCCCTCATTTTCGTATAAAACACTCATTTCACTCAAAACACCGGTTTATTTACGTTGCCAACGAGGACCTTTGGCGATGAGAAAACAGCGTTGCCGCCCCTTTCGGGCGTGCCTGACTGATGATAGATTTAATTTTGGGGTTTGCGAAACCCCATTTTTTTACTGCTTGAGCTAACATAAACGATATAAAAACCTAATGAAAATATCGAGATAAATTAGTCAAAAATTAAATAAATTTAAAACGTCTGGTGTTGCCACATTGTTCAATAAAAAACTACACCAGAAAATAACCTCAGAAAACTTTAAAGGTTATGTGAGCCGTTTGGATGAATCGGTGTCTAAGTGGGGCTTTAAAAAAGGGGCTCAAACGGGGCCACCGGTTGCTCAGTGGAAGTGCCGAGAAGAGCAAAGGGCCCCCTTGGAAGGTGCTGTTTTTCGGTAGTGATGAATTCTCGCTCTACAGTCTGAAGGCCCTAAATCAGGAAGCGTAAGCCTCTCCGAAAAACTGCCGATAGTCGGCTGAACGTTCAAGTGATTTTCAGTGAAAACTTGCTGAAAACCTTGGAAGTAGTGACGTGCTCGCAGAAAAACCAGATCTTCAAGTACTGCAGGGATCAACACTTGCCTGTGCACAAATGGCCCCCTGATTTGTCAGGCCAGAGCTTCGATCTAGGAATAGTCGTGTCGTTTGGCTATTTAATTCCCGAAGCGTTAATCAACCAGTTCCCCCGGTAAGGCGGCTATGGGGAGCAAAACAGTGAAATGTTGTGTCAGAAACATGGGGCTGTTTCAGGGGAATGATCAATGTTCACGGCAGCCTCCTGCCAAGGTGGCGCGGGGCCTCCCCTATAGTCTACGCCCTGGCCAATGGGGATAAGGAAACAGGAGTCACCATTATGAAAGTCAGGCCTAGGAAGTTCGATGTGGGCGAAATTATTTGCCAGGAGGTGGTTCCAATTGGGGCTGGGATGGAGATGCCGCAGCTGCACTCGATACTCGGCCAATTAGGAGCGAAGCTTTTAGTGCAAACAATTTGGAATCTTCAGCCGGCTCTTGAGGCCGCTAGGCCTCAGCCCGAAGACGGTGCGAGTTACGGTAGGCCTTTTCAATCTAACCCAGGGCTTTTGCCAAATAATTTTGACGGTTTCAGCGCCCAAAATCACTCAAGGGTTCGCCCAAGTGCAATGGAGTTGCTCGACAGCAAAGGAAATTGAGCGGCTTTACAGGGCTCTTAAGTCAGTGTTCCCGCTGAAAACCACTTGGTATGGGACGCCAGTGAAACTATCCGATATCGCCATGTTCCAGGCTTCTGGAACAACGAAAAAACCTGGGCATGTGTACTATAGCAAACCCCACAAGGCTTTGATAGTGGAATGTGCGGGGTCTACCTGGATTAGCGTGAAGGAGGTTGGTGTTCAGGGCAAAAAAACGATGAAAGCTGCGGACTTTTACAATGGATTCATTTCAAAACTGCCTGACCAAAGTCTGGCGTGTTTCCAATAAACTCCGTGTTATTAAATACATAATTTATTGCCGAAGGCAACTAGAGGAGGCGGGTGTTTCAACATGGCCTTTGAAACGTTACATTGAGAGCCCGAACTCCTCAACCTTATGATTAACAATATATTGCACTTATGATATGTACATGGCGCCAGTCGAATAAAACCAGCACAATCGGTTTGTGCCTCAAAAACACTCTCTTTTGGCGTTCTCACACAAATGCTCAATTAAACAACTGGCTCAACTTTAATCTTAACGCATCAACAGAGAAACATTGAACGCACGTTCTAGGTAGTGCTTAAAGCTTCGATCTCTTGCCAACTACACGTCGTTCTGCTTTATATTTTCATGAACTAAGAAAAATTGCTTAGGAAAGCTATTGAGGAAGCGACAAACAAACTCCACACGTTTTTACCCTGTAAAACAAAAGGTGCATTAAGAATGGTACCAGTGATCGGAAAATCCCTTGTTGGAGCAAAGGAACCAAGCAACGCTTAGGGGTTTCTTTGCTCCCACACCTATAAGGGTAGTTAGTAATCGGTCAGTTACAAAGCATCTGCTCAGTTGATGTTTTCTGATAATAAGAGTAATCCCTAATTAATGGCAAGACGCGATCCGCATACAACTGGTCAAGCTGTTGACCAGATGTACACGATGCACATAAAGCTAGTCCTTATATAAGAAAAAAATGCCATGCTGATCACAAACAAATGGTTATGAAGTGTCTTAGAGTTTGCTGTTTTGGCATTCAATGTCTAAGGCTTCCAGATTTGAGTAATCGACTCTAGAACCCCTAGAACAAACAACAAACAGATTAGCACGTTAGTCGAAAGCAGAAACCACTTAGTAAACGGTTTTGTTAGATTGTTAGGTACAATTTATTGGGTAAGAGACTGGGTACAATGCGGGTGAATCAGGGAATGGGATTATTGGAAGCCGATGTGTTTGGGGATGTATCTGGAAAAACAATTAAGGGAAAATTCAGTGCACAGTCAAGAGAACATATTCAGTGCAAACTCAAGAGAACACTTTAAGTTTGCGCCCCAACAATAATCCATAAAACCCGCAGTTTTGAGCGCAATTTTTAAACAATTCACCTGAGAATCGTCATTTGCAGGTGCGATTAAAAACTTGAAAAAGAAAATATCTGATTTTGTTTTTGACCAATATCAGTTTTTTGAGAATTTGGTGCTTTGCTAATTAGTCGTTAAAGCTTGCCGATCATGCACCTATAAGAAATCAATCAGGTACGAAGCTAAAAGAAAATTTTCCTACATCTGTATCAAATACCTTGCGCAAAGTTTCTCTGGAGGTTCTGATGGAACAGAAAAAAACGGGTTAAAACACGTTAACTGAGATTGAAACTAGTAAAGGCGAGTCTTACATGTGCTCCGGATGGTTCCGGATGCAGTCAATGAAGTCTTTGGGCGTCAGCTGACCTGTGCAGATCTTGTGAATGGCCGTGAACAAGGGAAACCTGCAATCAACCCCAAGTCAACCACGTCCTTCCAACCCTCAGCAAACACTCACTGTTCTTCCATCCCCTTGATCTTGAGCATGTAGCTGACTTCTTCCGCAGTGTACGGCCCTTGCAGCTTTTGCCCATTGAGCATCTCGTCCTCCAGCTCTTTGATGGACTTTCCAGTACGCACAAAGGCTTCGCTGACTTTCCGGTTGCGCCCCCCGTAGCAAGTGGTAATCAGATCGGCTACCCCGCAGCTCTCAAAGAACGTAGCCAGCTTCCCGCCTGGATAGAAAACATCGACGAATTTCACCATCTCCATCAGCCCTAGACGAATAACGGCCGCTTTGGTATTGTCCCCCAGCCCCAAGCCGTCTACAAAGCCCGCTCCGCATGCCACGATGTTTTTTAGGGCGCCGCAAACTTCCACAGTGTCTTCATCGTCCACCACCACCACTCGGAAGTAGTTGGTTTGAATGATTTCCCGCAGGAGCGGACCGGCCGTTGCATCTTTGCACCCAATGGTGGTTTCGCAGAACATTTCATCGGCCACTTCGTTTGCCAGATTTGCCCCCATCAGAACAGAGCACGGGATTTTCAGGTGTCTGGTGATGATGTGCGAGATCAGATCGATGCCGCCACCTTCTGCTCGATCAAAGCCCTGAAACATTTACAGTTAAATCCAGGTGTTTTCCCCACTGGCTTAGGAGTTAGAAACAAAATACTGGTAGTCCTATGGGACAATTAGGCGCACAAGTTCAGCAGGTTACCTCAAAGCTAGATAAGAATATTTGTATTTGGCTCGCTAATCGCTCGCTTAATTTGCAATTAGCATTAAATCATGAAAATTTCCTCAAGGTGACTGATAAACGTTGTTGTTTATGGTGAAAACGTATAAAATCGATGAGGACAATTTAATGTGCTGTTTACAATGCCCGGCTTTATCAGCCAGTACCATTTTCAGAACAACAGTTGATTGGCTTATTATAGAATCTATTTGTTTAAACTATCACGTTCTTGGTGAGCAGGAAAACTGCATTCCGCGTGTCATTGCGAGCGAAAAACAGAATTAACGATTAATCTATGACTAAACAAGCGTGCTATAAAAATGGCGAAAAAAACTGATTTTTTGGCTCCGTTCTGCGAGAGATTTCCACTGTCCTGACCTAGGGGAAAAGTCGCACCGCTCATTATCGGTCAGAATCTTCCTCAATCGAGATTAGATAACTACTACGCGAAAAACTGGGCAGTCGTGCCAAAACAAGGCGGAAATTACGAAAAAATCGCGTCAATGGCACAAGTCTGGGTGTTAAAAATACGGGACAATTCAAGGTTTACCTTAATTAGGGACAATGCGATTGCGGTCGATTTGATTTTGCCCAAAAGTGTCGCACACAGCGTGCGAATGAACTGATGAGGCACCACAAAGATCAAAACGTCGGCATCTTTAGCTGCCTCGACCACATCGGGAACCGCCACCTAAAAATCAGAAATTGCATTTATTCAAATATGTGGTGGTGAACATTTTTTGCCAACCAAAAAATCCGGCCTTGGATAAATAAAAATAAATTAATAAATCATGCCGTTTGGTTATTCAACACTTGGAACCGATTTATTTGCGTTGAAAAAAACCTCGCTGGTTAAATCATGATCAAACACTTTCAACTCAGTTTTCCACTGTTGTTTCATGGAATTGGGCAATAGCAGGAACCTTCTGGTGCCGTTTTTCGACCAATGATGCGGTAAATTGCCGCTAAACTATTTCCTGCTATTGCTCTTTTTTTTTGGGTCTCAAACTGACCGTTTCTGGTCCATTTTTCAAATGAGCAACTGAATTTTGTTTTGCGCTTTTTGCTACTTTATAAGTATTCAGACGGATTTTTTCATGTCAGTCGCGTAGATCTGGGGTAAGTTGGAGAATTTGCCCCCAATTCCTACGCCACTGGAAAAATCGCAAGATTAACGGGCTTTTTCAAAGGGCATGGATTTCGACTCCAAAAAAGGTGCTTTTGGTTAAAAGCTCTAAACTTACCGGTTTCGGGAAAAATGCCCTTTTTGAACTGAAATCGATCACAGACATAAAATTGGTTTTTCTCTTTAGGGCTAATTACGAAAGGCACCTTTTGGACAGGAAACCGCGAATATTTTAAATATGGCGGTAAATTGCCATTGATCCCAGTAGTAGCGTGGAGTTAAAAAACAAAACAAATGTTTCAACCTCTTGCATATCCATAATAGCGAGTGCTTAACAATATATTCAAACGTACAAAACGCCCACCAAGGCGCCTTTAAATGTTATTTTCTGTGGGAAAACGCTCTGCATTTGGCAATAGTGGAGTCAAATCTCGATTATGTAACAGAATGGCGCCAAGTCCAAAAGGGGCCTTTGTAGGGCTGCGATTGGCCAAAGGGCAGCTTTATAAAGGAAAAAAACTCACCACATTGGGAGGCAGCTTGCGGCCTGGCAAGTACTTGACATTCTCGTGAGTTTCATTGATGATTTCAGTCAGCTTTTTGCCATTAAACATTTCCTCATAGACGTACATTGTAACTCGCTCGTCAAAGTTCTTCGAACGAAGGGCATTGCTGCCCACAATTCTGGCAATGGCGGAACCCCTGAAAGGCACCCAAAACGTTAAGGGCCCCCTTTTTTGCTAACACTGACAGCGGTTAAGGTTAGAAACGGGTGCAATGTCAGCAAATTGGGGGAAAAACAGCGATATTTACCAGTTTCCGCTGCCGATAATGCAGACTTGTTTCGGGTTGCTACAGGCCATTTGGACGCTCGAAATGCCGCTTTTATTAATAGAGAAATATCGTGTAGATGGTGGCTGGGGAGAATGCAGCCGTCGCGACGAAAATAAACTTCGCACTGACACAGTGAAGGCGACTGATATATCACTATAGCTGAGAGATAAAGTAGGGGCAGAAGGTCGAACCTGGAGATTGTTTGCTTTCCATAGTCCACGACTTAACGGGCTCCAAATGCGTGCCATACACATGAGATTTGAGCGATTGTTTGTGGAAAATTTCGGCGCATTCACCCGCTTCGACTAGGTGCGCGTTTTGCCCCATTTTACTTGAGAAATTGGGGTATTTCGGAACGTAGTCGCACATCTGGAGACTTCAACGCTTTAATTCAGCGGGGCTTTTAATGCTCAATGGCATTAGCCTTTATCTAGAGGCGGGTTTTGGGAGTGAAACGCGTCGGGAAACCGACTGGAAAAGCACTTGCCTGGAAGTTCAAGAACGCAGCTAGTTTAGCAGTGGTAAACATTGAGGTTCTGGATCAAATCAGCTGACTCGCTTCAAAGGACACAGTGAGCTTGCCTGTTTTTGCCCCTGATGATGGAATTAAAATATCATTTTTCTGCATGTGAATTGCTATTTTAGTCGTTATTTCGCCTCACTAAGTGAATAATTTAGCAGTTTTTTCCAATTTAGACTCAATCGCGTATTGTGAGTTGCCTATAACTGCCCGCCATCGATGCTCAGTTGTTCAAGGGCGCTAATTGAAGGGGCGTCGCTTTTCAAAATTGCTCTCGGATAAACGGCCCCAATTTAGGGTTTATGGGGTAGAGCCTCAGTTGCGAAGCAAATCGCGTTTGAAAGTTCCGCATTTCTAACTTTTATCCGCCAAAACAACAACGTTAGATCCCATCGATGTTCAGTACCGTGCGGGAAGTGAAGGAGTGTCGCGTTTGAAATTTCCTCCCGGATAAACGGCCCCAATTTAAGTTGAATTAACATTTTCGTGAAGCCGAAATTTCCCTCTTTATTTCGGTGGATCGGGTTTATAGGGGAAAGTGTTCGCTGCGTAGTAAATTGCTTTTGAAAATTCGGCAATTCTGACATTAATCCGCCAAAACAACAAGGTTAGATCCCGGCTGGCTTGTAGGCGTGTTGACAGTGTAGCAGCTAGTCGTCTCCAAGGTAACCAGAGGTCGTAGTTAAGAGCGGTTCTAGTAGCTTATAGGAAATGTGTTTTTTTCTGACGTTTTCTAATCTTCAGAGGTGATTTCAGTCCGCAGCATAGAGAAAGTAATATAAGTATTAACAAATAATAATTATAAGAATTAAATAAAATATTTTACTTACTCTATGGTCGGCAGGTTGATGCCAATGACTTTCCTTCCATTTCGAGAGTTTAGTGTGATTGTGTTAAAATCTAGTCGTTTAAAGCCGGGGTTGCAAACCTTTTTCGGGCGGCGGGACAGTTTGAAATTTTTTTTTTTTCTACGAGCCCCACAAAATAAAAAAAAAAGGTTTGCCACATTTTGGTGTTCAATAATCATCATCAGATAAACACGGTATCGAACGTTTTTCTTCCACTTTACACCTAAAAGAAAGTCACCACTGATCTACTCGTATAAATATTGTAACGGAAATGGCCTGGGGTCCTCACGTTCAGAATTGGGAGATCGAAATTGATGGTATTTCAGTAAATGGGAGCCCCATTTGCGCCCCATTTACTGTCAAATATGACACTAACAAGCGGAAAGTTTCGCACCTGTTCTGGAGATTTCGAGAACCATCTGGGTTACCTGAAGGAATCTATATAAGCGACGAGGAGAACCAGTCAGGGGGAAGTGAAGTGACAGGAGCGACCGGGTGCAGAAGAGGTTGAACCCCGTGAGACGGAAGAGCGAGTTTTCTGCCTGTTATTGTTATTGTTTGTGAAGTTGACGGTAATTTGGAAGTAAGTTTGTTCCTGTTCCGTCGTTAAAGTTATACCGGGTGGAATAAAAGTTGGAAGCTGAAGAGAGTTGGATACCCGGCCATCCACGGTACAATATTATTTTGAAAATTATCTAAAAGTATATCCTTCCTTTGGTCCTTTGGCGGGCCGCGCAAAAAGTTGCAAAGGGCCGCCGGTTGCGGACCTCTGACTGGGTTAAAGAATGGTGGCAAACGCTTGAAGATGATTTGATTGAAAAAAACTCGAATTAATCGAACAGACGTTTATTATAAAATTTCCGGTCGTCACCATAAAATAGAATTCTAGAAAAATACGTCAAAAAAGGCGAACCGCCCTGGAAGGGATCACATGCGTGCAGTCAAACGATCGGGAATGTTTGTCGTTCAAGGCCCATTAAAACGCGATGGGCCTCGATCCTAACTTAATCCTAATAGTTACATTCGAACCTTATAAGGGCAAGTAAGGCCGAGCCACCTGGATATATCATGCCTCCAATTGCGCCTACCGATACTGATTGGTGTGGCTTGAGTCGATTTTCTTTACCAATTCGGCAACCACGTCGCGGTAGATGAGCGGGTCCAGATTCGTGCCAAGCATCATCAAAATCCACCAATCGCCGAGGTCCACTTTCCGGCAAAGCGCCTCGCAAGTCTCAATTGGGATGCTGCGATGTTTGGCGTGTAGAATACGTGGCCGGATCTTCGGCATGGCGATGATGAGCACCCGGTAGATGACGAGGAGCGTGAGCATACTCAGCAAGATGACGAACCAGAACCAGATGAAGATGTACGTTTTCTCGTTCACGATGTTCAAGGGCAGAATGCACATGCTGTCATGCTTCTGGATGCTTCCAGACGGGCCGTACTTGTGGAAGATGCATTTGGTCACTCGTGGAAATACGTAAACCATCGGGTCGATTCGGTCCTCTTGCACCTGTTCGGAGTAGTTCATCACTCGGAGACCGTAGCTGAGAAACTCGCCGTCGAAAAACCGGTTCATGCACCACATCTGGACGATGATGTTGATCAGGCAGAGGCACTCACAGCCCCAGTACCTCAGCGCGTACAGGTTGTGCCTCTGAAAGCGAACAAACGCTGTAAGAAGCGCTGCCAAACTCACTCGCCAAACACTCACCTTAACGTGCTGCGCCAAGTACTCGAGAATTATCTCCTTCTTGATGTTTTTCGTGCGCTCCGAGCACACTCCGACATTCAGTCCCATCACCAGCATCCTCATCAGGCCGTTCTCGAAAGAGCCCCAGATCACCTTGGGGGTGTAGCAGGCGATCGCCTGGAAAAACAGCACGAAACACACCCATTGGTAGTAAGTGTAGAACTTCTGTGCGTCCTGGTCGTTGAAATCGTTGGCCAATCCTGGATGGGCCACTTCAGTGCCCACCTACAACGGAAACGCCTTCTAGTGAGTTAACAGTTAGTCAATTGAGCCACAGATGGCGCCCGCAGTCCCTTATCAACATTTAAGAAATCGAGCTTGATGTGCGTTGTTGAAGAGTTTCCAAATGTTGCCTGCGAAGTTTAAATGTGAATGAGCAACAATAGTTCAATATAAAAAAATGCTTAAAATCAAGATATGTAAGTGAATTGACCGTCAAGGAACTGAAGATGGCAAGAACGAAGATTCTTCTACAAATCACCAAAAGCAGCTTTCTAACTGGTCCTCAGTTGGATTGAAACCCCCAGTTTTAATTGAGAAAATCGTCAAAAATCGCAGCGCTCCAAAGTGCAAATAATCCTCTATTAAATGACCGCACAAGCGTCTTCAGCTGGATTGAAAATCTCCAAAAATTGAGGGAAACATCGACTAAATCGACCCTCATAGGACTCAAAGTAGGATAGAGAGACGTTTAAAAAATCCATTTAAATTGCAAAAAAGTCGGTACAATGTGCATCTGTAGGGGAAGCGAGAGCAGATAAAGACGCCAAGTGGTTCAATCGGTGCCGTCACACTGGTATGCAACGGAGCCAGATTAGGGATTTTTCGCCAGTTTAGGACAATTTTCAATTTTGGCCTGCGGTCTTTGGATAAGATGCATTGGGATTGTTTCAACAAATGCTCGGCAACACTGTTCGGATTCATTTTAACAAAGTGCAAAGTTCCCACGAATGCTTCCATCGTGATCATGAACAATCTGGCGCCCAGCACTAACTCCGATTGGACAAATAATCAAATTAGGCCAATTAAATTGTTGCCATATGACCTGAGGGCAATTTGCGTCAAGTGGCAATTGTCTGCCTGGTCCAGTGGCGTGCTGAGGGCAAGGAACATGCAGTTTACCTGTCGCCTGAACGCGTCCGGCATGGTGAAAGTGGATGAGATCCAGCAATACGTGTTGACCACATGTGTGGGCAGTCCATCCACAATGCACTGGATCGGATTCCCGACATACTGAGTAGCGGTGACGATTATGCTGCAGCCCATCAGGAGGGCGGTGGTGAAGAGATTGTGCATGCGGAAAATCGCGCAATCGGTCACAATGTCCTGATATTTCAGGTAGTTGGCGAGACCGCCCAGTAACTTGTACATGTTGCTGCTGGTTTCGGTTCTAGTTCATGTTCAAACGCACACCAAACTGATGATGGACGACCGTTCGTTACCTTCGCTTGCGCGGCTTGTTTGCGACTGAATGCGGGGCCCCTCTAGTCCCACTGCCACTCCCCACCAGCCGGCCTAAGACCAACAATCGCCCAGTTGAATGAAGAATGCTAGTCACTGTTTTTAAAAAGACATTTGCCCAGTTACTCTTTCATTGACATTTGACATTGCAATCAATCTCTCAACTAGTTCACTTAAAATCCTTGACGTCAATTGGCTGGCTTTCCAGTCAGTTCTTGTGCTGATTGGCTGTGGGCAAAGCGCCCCGCATATACTGGGCGATTGGAAAATGTTCCTCTCACTTATAGTGTCAGTTTGACAACCAGCTGGATGGGAACGTGACATAAGTGATGCCCTAGACAATCAAGGAGGATAGTTGTTAAAGTCTGTTACCTAGTAATAATGGTCAACACAACGCTAAACCTAAATAGAAAGCTATAAAATATGGCGTTTTATCGCTTGACCAAGCGATTTCTATCACCGATTTGTGGTAATTGAGCAACCATATGGCGCAACCTACCATACCAGGCCTTGTCCCACAAAGGCAATTAGTGACTATCGATTGTCCAGTCGATCACACTTTCAATTTATTTTTCGGTTTTCTCGCTCGGCGTTTTTCCTTTTAGGGTGCGCTTGCACAACATTCCAACAGCTTTGGCATGTTTGAATGATTAATGAGCGTCTCATCAAGCATGCTTCGCTCATCTTGTCCTGTGGAATCGTCACACGGTCCCACTGTATGTGGTTGGCATGGTGATAGCACACGAAACATGCCAAGCAATGGGTGCCAAATGGCCAGTCCTGTGCACTGTTGCCTGATGGATTTTGGGGGCAAAGAAGAAATTTGAGTATAGAGGCTGAGTGAACTGGAAACCAGTTGCGGCAACAACGAAGACAGGCTTCTTGAGCAGAGCAGGTTGTTGCCTTCTGGGCTGATGCAGGAGCACAAAGCGCTCAACTGGTTTATCAAAACTGGTTTCCGCTGCACCTTGTGCGAGGCTAGAAACGCATGCCTTTGTAATTAAGGACAGTCTTCGGGCAGTACCTGTGGTAACGTGCAAGAAAGGAATTTCAGAAGGGCCACGTTGCCGCTTCGCTTCACCGTTTTCGAGATAGTCGCCCGATTGTCATTCGGTATCTTAGGTGGCGGCGTCTGGGTCATCGCCGTGCGATGAACTCACTTCGCCCACTGTCCGGTGCTGCCACATGAATGGGAAATCGACATTCAACAAACACCCCATAAACATTCAACGGAGGCTGGAAACCATATTTTTGAAAAAAAACTGCATGCTGGCAACGCCGGTTCCCGTGCCCTAGGTAGAGACTAAGCACGCACTTTACGTCGTCAAGGAAACCACCCCATCCAATATACGAGGGCATGTCGGCAAATACAACATCAAGTTTTATTAAAAAACTGGGATAGGTAGTCAATAAATTAGGAAATCACAACATCACAAAGTCCATCAGTCTTTCTTGTATTCGGGCAGGCCGGCCTCTGGGTTGGAAAGCTGGTCGCTCATCAGGGACTTCTTGGCGGAGTCCAGATCGTCCTCCAGCTCCTCGGCCAGGCCGATGATAATCTCACGGAACACCAAGCCATCCAGATTCTTGGACAGGTACTTGAGGAACAGCCAATCGGTGTAGCTGCAGTAGCGCGACACTGTCAACACGTCCCATGGGTTGATTTTACCGGGGCAGGTGGTGGAGAAGACCAGCTTGTTGAAGGACTTGCTGCGCGCATGCAGCAGGATGGTGAGCAGTCTGGAACCGAAGAACGGTGAGCTCGTGCTCTGAGTAGCAGCTGGAATGGGCTCACCTCCAGGCCAGGGCCAGGCCCGTGGCCACCAGCAGGAAAATATACCAAAACCACAGAAAAGTGTAGATTTTGTCGTTGATCACATTGAGGGCCATCACGCACATGGCGTCGTGCCACTGGATGGAGCCCGAAGGGCCGTACTTGTGGAACGTACACTTTGTTACCTGCAATGGGTTTTGCAAGCAGTTTTGAAAAATCTCCAGCTGCAACGCCTGGGGGTTACCTTGGGAAAGACCACATCCAGAGGATCGACGCTGGATTCCAGTCCCTGGCGCCACACGTTAGCCCCCAGGCTCATAAACTGCCCGTTCAGGAAGCGGTCAGTGATGTAGATCTGCAACAGCACGTTCAGGAGATTGAGGCACTCGCACAGGATGAGGTGCATCGACCAGGAGCCGCTGATGTAAAGCCGGTCCAGAAACGCCTTTCTCACCACGCGAATCTTGTCCTCCCTGGAATGCAAGTTAGCCGGTTAGACCCCGCCCTCTTTGAGCTGATGGGGGCGTACTTCTGCGCCCTGGTGGGAATGTTCTTGCCGCCCACCCCCATCTCCTTCTCCTGCAAGGAGAACGCGGCCAGCTGCAGCCCGTCCACCAAGTACTTGAGTCTTCCACCTTCCAGCTTCTTCCACACATAGTGAGAGGCGTAGAACATCAGTGCCTGCCCAAACAGGACGAACGGCACCCATTGGTAGTAGGCGTGGTGCTTGACCTCGTCCTTGGAATGAATCCCGTACTCCCCCACTCCGGGATGGGGCAGGCCGCCCTTGTCCAGCAACTCGGGGTCCAGGTCCTTGATCTACAACCGCCCAATTAGTGGGGCTGACGGCCAGCAGGTCCGCCACACTCACCAAAGTGAAGGTGGATGTGAAGAAGCAGTAAGTGTCAATAACATGACCTGGTACTCCTTTATCGGAGATGCACTGGATGTGGTCGCCGATGTACTGGCGCGAGCACACCAACACTGTGGACGTCAAAAGGGCGAAGAAGGTGAGCCGGTAGTGGAGCTTGAACACCCAATTGTCGATCGAGTAGGTTTGATTCGCGAGTTTCTTCACAAAGGGCACAACACCTTCGAATGTCTTCAGCATGCTGCGGCTGGGGGTGATCGGGACGATGCGCACACTTTTCTTCTGGAAAGAACGGGTTTCGTTTCAGAACTGGCGCTCTAATTAGCTGCTCAACTGGCGGGATGAATCGTCAATTTGGAGTAATTGAATGCGGCTGATTGTTGCGACCTGAACCTGCGCGCCCGTTTCCCCATCCATTGTCATTTGTGTAATAATAACTGATAAGATTAAATTATAATTCATCTACACCTACCACGACTGACTTTCAGATTAACATGTATCTATTCTGGACGTGGCTAAGGTCAAAGTGGTTGATTCAGTCAGTTAACACTTGCGTTCGGTAGCTTTTGCCATTCTGAGGTCAGATAGGTGGGCAATTTTGCTGTTTTTTTCGAGAATTTTCCTTACGGTTCTGAGACAAAATTTGAGTCGATTTTGGCCCGATTTTTCAACTGTTCTGTTCAGTTTAAAAACTGAATCTTTGTCGTATTTTGCCTGCTTTTTAATGGATTTCAAATGTTTTTCGTGTTTTCTTCAGGGCTTTTACTCAAAACAGCGCCCCTAAAGGCAAACGCGCATTTGTTTGCTTCAGAGGAACGCAACGAATAAAACTGAATCTTCCGATCATGATTCTGAGAGGTTGAGTCGATTTTGACACAGTTTTTACACTTTTTGGATTTGGGAAGAACCCAAAGATCGAAGTTTTGTGCCAAACTTTCACATTTTAGTCCTGACATAAATAAGTTCAGTTCACTTTGACTTAAATTTTGAACTTTTCAGCTCATTTCAACTGAAAACCAGTACCCACAAGCTGGGTTTTTTTTTCGCAATTTCAGACCAGAGATTCTGACCCAGTTTTTGGACCTTATTTTGTTCTAAATTTTTGCGTCTTGGATCTGACAAAAGTTTAGTTACTTTTGACGTAATTTTCGAACTTTTGGACTCTGAACTCGAGTAGGTACCCACAAGCGGGGGTTTTGTCTACCAAAAATTTCCTTCCCGTGGTGGTTCTGCGCTAAGTTTGAACAGTTTTTCGATCAGGGGCGCTGAAAACCAGCACCCAAAAGATGGTGCTTTTCGTCGCCCATTTCGCATCTTAGTGCTGACATAAATAAGTTCAGTTGACTTTGGCTTCAATTTTGAACTTTTTAGCTCATTTCAACTGAAACGAGTACCCACAAGCTGGGGTTTTTGTTCGACATTTTCTCATCATGGTTCTGAGATGCTGACCCACTTTTTGAACCTTTTTTTCTCCAAATTTTCGTGTCTTGGTTCTGACATAAGTTCAGTTGCTTTTCACCTGAATTTCGCACTTTTCGGGTCTGAACACGAGTAGGTACCCACAAGCCGGAGGTTTGGTCTACGAAAAATTTCCTTCCCATGGTGGTTCCGAGCTAAGTTGGGTTGATTTTGAGCGAATTTTTGGGTATCACTGGCGCGTTAAACCGAGTACCTACCAACTGAGCGTTGTTTTTCGACAATTTTCCATTATTGTTCTGAAAAAATTTGAGTCGATTTTGGCCCGATTTTTAAACTTCTGTTCAATCTAAAAACTGAATCTTTGTCATATTTTATCTGATTTTTAATAGTATTTAATGAATTTCAAATGTTTTTCGTGCCGTCTACAGGACTTTTAAACGCGCGATTATTTCGCATCGAACGAACACAATGCACGGAACAAGATTCTCGTCGAATTTGGCGTAATTTTCCAAAGTATTTACTGGATTTCGGATGCTTTTCGTGTTTTCTTCAACGCTTTTACTCAAAACAGCGCCCCTAAAGGCGAACCTTTGTTTGCTTCAGAGGAACACAACGAATGAAACTGAATCTTTATGGTATTTCCAATAATTTCCGAAAGTAGAAATCTCCGAAAAGAAATTTCAGATCATGGTTCTGAGAGGTTTAGTCGATTTTGACACAGTTTTGGCACTTTTTGGATAAGGGGCGCTGGAAAGGAGAACCCAAAAGATGGAGGTTCTGTCACCAAATGTTCGCATCTTAATCCACATGCATGACATAATAAAGTTCAGTTCACTTTGGCTTAAATTTTGAACTTTTTAGCTCATTGCAACTGAAAACGAGTACCCACAAGCAGTGGCGTTTCGTTCGCAATTTTCTGATCATGTTTCTGAGATTCTGACCCTGTTTTTGAACATTTTTTTTCCAAACTTTTGTATCTTGGTTTCGACATAAATTTAGTTGCTTTTGACCTAATTTTCGAACTTTTGGGTTCTGAACTCGCATCTGAATACAAGTAGGTAACTACGGTTTTTTCTACCAAATATTTCCTTCCCGGAGTGGATCTGAGCTAAGTTGGGTTAAATTTGAGCAAATTTTGGATTTTTTTGATCGGCGCGTTAAACCGATCACCTACAAATTAAGCGTTTTTTTCGATAATTTTCCAATACGGTTCCCACAAAATTTGAGTCGATTTTGGACCGATTTTTAAACTTTTCTCTTCAGTCTAAAAATGGAATCTAGTATTTAATGGATTTCAAATGTTTTTCGTGACTTCTACAGCACTTTTATACGAGCGATTTTTTCGCATCGAACGAACACAACAAACGGAACTAGATTCTCGTCGAATTTTGCGTAATTTTCCAGAGTGTTTACTGGATTTCGAATGGTTTTCATGTTTTCTTCAGCGCTTTTCTCAAAATAGCACCCCTAAAGGCAAACGCGCATTTGTTTGCTTCGAAGAAACGCAACGAATGAAACTGAGTCTTTGTGGTATTTCGAATGAGTTTTTTCGGAAATTTCCGATCATGGTTCTGAGAGGTTGAGTCGATTTTGACAAAGTGTTGGCACTTTTTTGACCAGGGGCGCTGAAAACGAGAACCCAAAAGATTGAGGTTTTGTCTCCAAATTTTCGCATCTTAGTCCTGACATAAATAAGTTCAGTTCACTTTGGCTTAAATTTTGAACTTTTTAGCTCATTTCAACTGACAACAAGCTGTGGGTTTGTGTGCCAAATTTTCCCATCTTGGTTTTGACATAAGTTGCGTCGATTTTGACCCAAATTCCCACCTTTTAGTACGAGTACCCACAAGCTGGTTTGTTTTAAACAATCTGAGTCGATTTTGAGCAGGCGCACTTCGGAATTTTTCTGTTCACTTACATTTCCAGCCGTACCGATATATTCGATCCATCAATCACACGGTGATTGACGAATGACATTTGTCAAAACTTAGTGACAGCTTCAGTCGCTGCACTAAGACAAAAGAAAAACAATCGCAACGAGTGGATCGAGTGTTCGCGTGATGTAAGTGCGCATTATTTGTTTTCCAATCGATAATTTAAAAGAGCAACAAGGCCGAAATCTTATCGGGGTCCCCATTGAAAACAATGACAACAACGCAAATAATAGCTTATACACATGTAAGTGGACGAAATTCCGCTGATTTGTCCTGTTGTTTTGTCTCTAAGCGATAATGGGACGCATAATGTATGGACGGGACGTGCCAGTTTAGGTGTCATTGTTAACCTACCTTGACATCTGTCATACTGCATTCGCACCAAGGAAAGGAAAAACTGGCACTGTGTGAGGGCGAAACGCGATGGAAATTCGAGTGATGTGGATATCGGTTTTCCCATAATCATGCCGCAACCTAAGTGGATGATTGATTATCTCGGATAACGTTGTGTCTTCCCCTGTGGGGCGCAGTCGATTGGGACACGCAAATGTGACAATCTGTCAGTGTCAGCTAATGTCGATGTGATGGTACTGATGGGTATGGCTGGTAGTCCAGCCAGCAGAGCCCTAAATGGGCTGCTGATTTACCATTGCGAGTACCAGATGGGATTTGCCGACGCAACAAAGAAAGAGGCGACTTGTCTCCATGCAGCCACCGGGGGGTCAAGCACGGGGGGCTTCGATGACCGGCAAAGGTGACATTCCCGAGCGGGGCCACTGAACCAAGCCGCCGAGTTGCGTTGGCTTGGGCGCATTTTTTCCTCAGCACGATCTGCTCGACGTGCCACTATTGTGCAAATAATTCGAAATAATTGGTACCAAAATACGGGCCTGTCGTTTTCCCCTCATCACCCCTACTTGCGATTGCGCCCGACGGGGGTTTTGCATTGAGCCGAACCGACCCGAAAGCGGGTGGAGGCGTCACGGACAGGCCCGGATTAATCCAATTTTGGTCACGGGTTTTTGTGAACAACCTCGAACAACCGCAAAAGTAGTTCTATTTCCAAAATAACCAAGCCGAGCAGCAAAGCGTAACGATCTCGTCACGTTCAGCCACTGTTGGCTTAACAAAGTGTCCCCGTTTCCAAATCTAACAATCTCTCGAGATTGATTGTTTTATGGCTATAAATGTTACGAAATTGGGCCAAGATGTGCCCAATTAATTGTTATTGAATTGGGCCGTCGATTGTTAATTGTTTGTCCAAGACGATAGTGCACGAAACTAGTGATTACACGGATTTACGTGACATTTTTCACACGAACATCCACTAATATTGGCCTAAGCCGACAATGGGGTTTTGATTTATTGTGATGAATATTGCGGTCACATGCCAAGTGCAAAAGTCAATATTGATCAGTAATTGCCGCGGCAATCAACCAATTAACGCGATTAGCATGTGGATTTATTGCTTGCGCATTTTGGAGGATGTTTGTGGCAAATTGACGAACCGCAGGCCTAAAAACAACGATTTCAAGGCCCGGTTGGTCCGATTTAATCAGCGGGAGTAAAAGTAGCATTTTCTATCGGCTGCTGATTTTGAAATCCTTAATACCTCAGGAGGATCTGGTAAGAATAACTGGAATTATGGGATTACGAGTCGCATGTCGATACCCCAGATAAGAACCGATGTCAGATTTAAAACCATTGTTCCGTTATCATCAGGCCTTGAGTGTAGGAGAATTATTTCGTTGTGATTTTAGCCTGCAAAAAGTGCCATTCATCATTCGGAAAGACCCGATTGTTTCATTCTACCAAGAATCAAGAGTCTCAGTCACAATGGAATCTCCAATTATTTCTCACATTCATGGGCTTTGCCATTAGCTCCCGATGAGTGGGAGAGAGGATCATACCCCTAAGTGTCTTTTTAAGCACATGGCTTTCTTTGCTGATTGGAATGTTTCGAGTTATTTCCACCTATCGGGTAGCACAAGGTCGAAATCAACCCCAAAAGTGTAACGCAGCTGCAAACATTTCGGCAAAGTAGGCCCACGTTGTCATGTTGCACCTATTTTATCAGAACTCGGATAAATTGCCAATCAAATCGCACACAAAGGAAATATATATTAATATAATAATTATATAAATATTAATTGGCAGTTTTCCGGCGAAAGTCTAGGAAATGGGGGATAATTCGGCAAAACTGAAAGCTTCATACTGAGAGCACGACATTGACAATGGATGAACGGAAATTATTAATATTTGCCTCTTAACTGATTCAAGGTTGAGTGTCTTTTAAAGCATTAGGCAGAAGTACCTGGTTTCCGTCTTTAAAATAAGCCGAGAATCACTTTCCTAACTGTTCTAGTCATTGTCATAGATAAAGACGATTCTTTGTGCTCCTGGGCCTTGAACGTGCATGTGTAGATTTCGGAAATCGGCAAATGGATCTGTAACAAATCGATACAGTGTGACCAACTGGGGCTTAGTTTTCAAACTCTCAGGGTTTATATTTACAATTTATGTATACAAAGGCATCTTCGCTGTACAATTAGAAGAAAATCCGGAACCGGCAAGGCAGATTTTAATCTTTTGTCGATGAAAAATCCTCAGAACTTCTCCATCTGGGGCCTCAATCAAATCTCAAACTACCAGGGTTTATAGAGCAGGCTTTTCTCTTTCAAACTAGCAAAACATCAGTGTGTGGACTGGTGCAGTTTTTGCGTAATTTACATTTCAAAACCGAGATGCAGATTTCAATGTTTCAGCATTTAAATCTTTGGAAAGTCCCCTCAATTTTTTCAACTGGGGCCCAAATCTCAGACTCTCACGCTTTATAGAGAAGTTAATCTTTTAAACTGACCCGAGACTCGAATTTTCACACCTAAAAAAAGGTTATTAACATTTTTTCTGAGTAGCGTTTTACTACATTGTTCAAACAACTAAAAAAAAGTAATCGAGATTTGCCAGAATTTTACAGTAAAACGTTAGGAAAAGCGCGGTTTTTCTGTTTAGCATAAACTTTCGCTTTTCAGTTCGGGGAAATATGTTTGGAAAAAGACGCAGAAATAATTATTAGGGTTTTATTCATAATTCGAAACTGCAAAAAGTTTTTCAAAAATGTTTTCAAAGCGGTTAAGGTTAAAATGTATCTGTTGCTCTCTGGTTGTTTTCGGTTTTGAGGAAAACCTTAACGGTTTTCGCGGAAAAAAGGGAGGAACTTATTTTCGTTTCTATCCCGAATTCGACGCTGAAAGTTTTTATAAAATGTTTACAAAGTAACAGACCTTCAGATCGTCAGTATTTTTAAGTGAAACTACAAAATAGAGCGTTTTGAGTAGAAAGTAAAGGAAAAAATCAGTCAAAACTGAAAAACCACATTTTAAAAAAAATCTTAACTTCTGAACTGGGGCCAGTGCGTACTTGAAGATTTTACTGTTTTGCGATAGTCAACGTTTGCATCCTATAACAGAAATTTTCATTGAAATCGCACTAAATGTTGATTTTTTGCTGCTTAAACAAGCGCCTAAAAAATGTTGTTTTAAAGAAAAAGCGCGGTCTCCTTAAAAAATTCAGAACGATGAGCTATGGTAGTATTTCAAATAACCTAAATAGGCGTATTTTATTGATTATCATCACGGTCACTAATTAACCACCACATCAAGTGTGAAAATTTTGGACAGACTAAAGTTCTGAATTAAAATAAAACTGACTTTGTCAGTTAGCCACGCAGGTGGCATCGGTTTTCTCTCTCGCATACATACAAGTGCATACGAGAGGCCAGATGACTAGCGGGTTGCTACGTTCCAACTTGATAACTTGATGGCTGGAAATATTTTGAGTTTATCTGCGACTAAACTTGAAAAAAATATTTAAAGCGTCATCCTAGCGTTTCGCTCGCACACATGGCCTTCTTCAGCGGTCCAGAAAAGTTGACCTTATGCAAGTGATTAAATAGTTGTAAAGGGAAATACAGCTGATTTCGTCAGTCCATTCAATAGGCCCAGCCTGGTTTTTAAAGTGGGCATTTTCGATTCCTACTGACAATGTGATAAAGACTGAATAAGTGGGCGAATGGTGTAGTTAAGTGCGGCAACAGCGAGGGCTCAAACGGGCACTATTGGGGTGAATTTGAGGGCGCATGAAACTTCGATACTTGCTTCCCTCGGCCCGAAGCGAGGCTAGCAGCAAGGAGTGGGGCGGTAGCCCGAACGCATTGGCCCTGGCCTATCCCCCCCTTCACTCAGACGTGAACATTCACTGTGAGAGAATCGGTGCCCGGTTCTAGTACCAAAGTACCAGTCGCTTAATCTGGCTTGATTTGTACCAGTCGCTTCACCAGCATCGAGTGCTTGATATCGTTTCTAGTGCGGCACCATGTTCGACGTGTTCGGCTCCGTTAAGGGGCTGCTGAAGATCGATGCAGTCTGCATCGACAACAACGTGTTTCGGCTACACTACAAAGCCACCGTGGTCATTCTGGTGGCGTTTTCCCTGCTGGTGACCAGTCGCCAGTACATCGGGGACCCAATCGATTGCATCGTGGACGATATTCCTCTGAGCATTATGGACACCTACTGTTGGATCTACTCGACATTCACCATCCCCAATCGGCTGACAGGGCGCGTCGGTCTGGATGTGGCCCAGCCGGGCGTCGCAGGCCACGTCGACGGCAAAGACGAAGTCAAGTACCACAAGTACTACCAATGGGTGTGCTTTGTGCTGTTCTTCCAGGCGATGCTGTTCTATGTGCCGCGCTATCTGTGGAAGACCTGGGAGGGTGGCCGCATCAAGAATCTGGTCGTCGATCTGAACTGCCCGATCGTGAGCGACGACTGCAAGAACGACCGCAAAAAGCTGCTGATTGACTACTTTTACGCCAACCTGCACATGCAGAACTTCTACGCCTATCGATTCTTCATCTGCGAGGTGATCAATTTCGTCAACGTAGTCGGACAGATCTTCTTCATGGATTTATTCCTGGACGGCGAGTTCAGCACCTACGGGAGCGACGTGCTGCGCTTCACCGAGATGGAGCCGGAGGAGCGCGAGGACCCGATGGCGCGCGTCTTTCCCAAAGTGACCAAGTGCACTTTCCACAAGTACGGTCCTTCGGGCAGCGTGCAGCGCTTCGACGGCCTGTGCGTCCTTCCAGTCAACATTGTCAACGAGAAAATCTACGTCTTCCTCTGGTTCTGGTTCATTCTGCTCAGCGTCCTGACCGCCATTTCGCTCTGCTACCGTCTTTGCGTCCTGCTGGGGCCCAAGGTGCGTCTCTATCTGTTGAGGGCGCGCTGCCGCATCGCCACCCAAGAACAAGTCGCGCTGATCGCCAGCAATTGCCAGATTGGGGATTGGTTCGTGCTGTATCAGCTAAGCAAGAACATCGACCCGCTCATCTTCAAAGAGGTAATTTCGGAGTTGGCCACCAAGTTGCAGGGCAAGGATTCGGCCTAGGCCGCCGGCCCCCATTGGCCCGACACTGTGATCGCAGAAAGACTGTTGCTTGATTGGTTCATTCATTATTTGACTACTGCCTAGGGAACGTTCTCGGTTCTCTCAATGTACATGTTGCGCCTCTATCGACCTCTCTGTGATATGGATCTGATGCTTGCGCCCACATATCACATTAGAGCAGTTGGTAAATTTATAAGTAGACTAAGAATTGTGATTGCTAGTTTTTTAGGTTAGGTGGTGCAGCCTCCTGTGCGCACGTGGCTCTACCTACTAGATTAAGATTCGATTATACTGCGTGCCTGCCTGTTCGATATTGTGAATTTTATATAAATATATGTTTATAGGTAATCGCGACATGAGCCAAATGTGCCTTCTAGGAATTGTATGCGTGTAGGCTTACGGATTTTTCGAAATAAAGACCAATGGTAATTTGCCACAGTTCTTCTGCTGTTTTCATTCGTTCCCAAATCCCATAACCTAACGCGCAAAGTTCAATTTCACCTTTTTGGTGACTTCTGAAGAGGGTAGCCATTCGTGCCAGTGAAACGTCTGGACGACGCTCCCAATCATTTTTTTTTAGTTGCAGCGAAAATTGAAATGATTTCAGCTGTGAAAGTAGCAAGCATCCACGTGGTTATACGCAGGCCATCTTGCCTCTCCGACAGACCCCTATAGGTCCGAGAGAGAAAACCTATGCCAGCTGCGTTCCTAAATGGAAAAATCAGTTATATTTGAATTCTGAAGTTTGTCTGACCGAATGTTTCTGATGATTGTTATCAAATTGTCTTGAGAGATTGAAATTTAGGTCCCAGTTGAGAAAATGGTCGAAAGAAAAAAAAAAAAACAAAAAAAATGGTCGAAACACTGAATTTTGCACCTCGCATTTCAAATGTCTATTTCGCAAAAACTGGACGAGTTAGGACGGTCATTTTTTATTGATTTTAAAGAGAAAAACCTTCTCTATAAGCGCTGGGAATTCGAGATTTTGGCCACAGTTGGGGAAATTGTGGGAATTTTTCATAAGGCCCTTGGTGGAAACACTGAATTTTGCATCTCGCGTTTCAAATATCCATCTCGCAAAAACTGGGTGAGTTGGGACGCTCATTTTTTGTTGGTTTTAAAGAGAAAAACCTTCTCTATAAATTCTGAGAATTTTAGATTTTGGCCGCAGTTGGGAAAATTGTGGGTTTTTCATTGAACCAATGGTCGAAACACTTCATTTTGCACCTCGCGTTTCAAATGTCCATTTCGCAAAACTGAACCAGTTACGACACTCTTTTTTTGTTGATTTTAAAGAAGAAAACCTTCTCGATAAACGCTGAGAATTTGAGACTTTGGCCGCAGTTGGGCAAATTGTGGGGATTTTTCATAGAGCCAACTGTCGAAACACCGAAATTTTCACCTCGCGTTTCAAATCTCAATGATGCAAAAACTGGACGAGTTCCAACTGTTATTTTATCTTGTTTTAAATAGAAACGTCCTCTTTGAACCCTGAGAGTTTAATATTTAGGACACCGAAATCTGCACCCCAACTTTGAAGCCCCAGGTTACGCAAAAACTAGGCCAATCTGGAAGCTGATTTTCGGGCCTGTCTTAAAGGAGAAACCGGACGCGACTTTCTCATGCTTTGAAACCCCGGAAATTCATTAGACCACAGAAGCACCGCCGGAACCTGCAAAATTCGACAAACAAATTCAAGAATCCAATTTCCGTACTTCATAAAATTCGAACCTTCCGCAGTCGTCTCACCTCACAACCAGTCCAGTCAAAGGCCGATTTTTCAATTTCAAAAAATGTTTCCAGCTTTCGAACGCAGTTTTTCGATGCCGGAAGTGCCAGAAGGCGTTGGAACCGCCATCGGATTTATCCGGGAAAGTGGCGATTTTAAGGTGGCGGTTCATCCCCATTTCCATACCGGATTATGCACAAACCGGTCTAGTTAAGACTGGTGCTTTTTGTTCGTTTTGAAGAACAAAGTTAGTTTTATTTCAATTGAGAACTAGTTGATCATTTGCGTGTCTAGTGGTTTCGGTTTCTATTCAACTGATAAAAACTAATTTGTTTGTTATTCTGGTGACTGATTATTATCCTTAATCGCTTCGATTGGGATTTGAGCAGATTTCCCTGCAATAAAGTTGATGAAAGGATGTGCTTGACATCCGCACTCAGACTTGGTGAAATCGTCAAAATCAGCAAGAACACGCCAATTGGTTGCAACCCAATAGCATCTGAGCGCCATTAAAATGACGCAAATTGAATGTTATATAAGCGAACAACAATGTCGCTATCTGGAATAATGTTGATTAAGCTGTAGCCAGTGTTCGTTAATTGTTTATTATGGCAGAAAAAGCGTCGCCGGGGGCTGAGAAAAGGGCCTCATTTTTATGACTGAGCGGTTGAAAACCGATTGGAATGTCTGAAACTTGTCTTTATCTATGCCTGAAACGACACGGTTCGAGAACTGTGACAAATATCATAAAGGCAGCCTTCCGGGAAAATGGTTTCTCGACGAAAATGTTGACTCAACTAACACAATGGGCAGGTAAAAAGTGCATTCTTCGAACATGTTGGGACAAGTTTAGGCTCATAAATTGCCTGATTGGCACCCAGATGGGTGAGAACCATTCTTGTACATTGTACAGTCAAATCATCCAAGTTATGCAACCATTAGGCATATTTGTCGCATTAATTGAGCTTAATTCCACGCCAATTGGCTGCCATTAGCGGCCCACGACGTTCAGCTGGCTCAAATGCTTATAACTCGCTTGGTTTGGGTAATTTTTCCTTATCAGTTGAAAAGCTCGGTTCCCGCATCCGAAAACGGCATTTAAAAGCAGGAAATATTCTCTTTTTATAGGTAGCGAGTGCGGAAGGGTAAAATCTTGAAGACTCTCGGATGAATTCGGCAGTAGTTTTAGCTGCCCTTTAGGAATTTCCGAGGTTTTGAAGCATAAGGAAGTAGCGTTCGGTTTCCTCTTTAAAATAAGCGTTATTGGTGCCAGAAATTTGGGCTGCAGGATCTCGATAAATTCCCCCGAACTGAGGCCCAAATGTGCAACTCTGAGGGTTTTTCCAATCGTCCCCAACTGCCTGTACAGTGGCCCCCAATTCGATTTGCTGCATTTTATTATGATAAACACGTCTCATCAAAGACTCGTCCATTTCTCACCGGGCTCGCTGACTGGACGAGCGGTTTCCACCCATTTAGGATACCGTGTTACACGTTTTCCCCCCTTGCCCTTTCGTGGAATGTCCCGCGGTCATTGGCGTGCCCCCATACAGCCACTGGGCATTTTAACGCAAAACATGCAGCAACTAAAGATTTCATTTGGTTTCAGGGGATCCGAAACGGCACGCCACTGCTAATGGAATCCGAGGGTCATGCGGATCGGAGAGAACAGAGAAGATACCTGCTCGACCAGCTTTCTTTCATGGTCTTCGTAATCGATGGTAATCTTACTGTATGCGTTGCATTGGCCCCGAAATGTGCAGGTAGGTAGGATTTACATTGTTGTATGAAGCCTTTTCTCTTCGGCATAAAACCTTCTTATCTATGCATAAAACTCTTCGTTTGTTGGCGTTGGCTAGTTTGTACTGTAGAAAAAGACCGATTCTGTATCACACGGTATTTACTGGTCTTTCAATCACACGTATTGAGTCGCAAATGAACAAAGTGAAACCGTTTGATGGTCTCTAGACAAAATGGCGGATGCACATAGTAGACTAAACGGTCATGTTATAATAATGCATCCTCTAAATCGGGTTTTTTCTTTTTGAAACTGTTCCTTAAAAGTTTGTTTCAGGGATTTGCTTCAATAATGGGCGTGATTTGTCAGATTCTTCTCTTTGGTCAACGGTTCAAAACAGACATGGAATTCTCCGCTAAATGGCGAATTTGTGCTTTAAATTTAACTGGATAGTTTTCAATCGCATATGTATTGGAGAGAACCGATTGTATCAAAAAGTTGACCAACACAAAAAGGAGGATGCGACTGATATTGGGCCTGGGTAACACTGTGTTGAGTTGCTCGTTTGAGTTATAATTTTTCGCGAAAAAAACATCCAGATTGTCAGTATTTTGAAGTAAAAGCGTTTATTAAAAGCGAAGATCGAGCGTGTTTGAGTAGAAAGCAAAGGGAAAAAAATCAGTCAAAACTAAAAAACCACAATTTTTTAACTACAGTCTTTATTGGAATAGAAGCGACGAGTTTTCCAAATAATTTATTATAAACTTTCGCTTATTTTGTTCGTTTTTTGAAAGAAAATTATTTGATTTTTGTCCCAAAAATTCTCAGTATTTTTAAGTGAATCTTTAGAAAATTGAGCATTCAGAAAAAGGAATAACTTTGCTAAAACTGTAAAATTCTGAAACTTTGAAGAAATGTTAAAACTATTATGGATAAATGGCCCTTAAAATAAACCTAAAAAGTCATCAACATTTTTCCAGCAACGGAACTGAGTTACTGCGCCGGTGCGTTGGATCGGCGCACCAAGCCATTTGCGTTGCACTGCGCCAACTCCTAAAAATTTATTGAGTCACCCAGACCTAATTGTTATGCTTAAATTGCCTCAACACCCAGTTAACCAAAACTTTCTGCAAATGAAATCAATCGCCCTGGTTAAACAAAAGGCCTCCACTGGAGTGTTTTTTTTAATGAAAATATATTATTCCAAAATACAAATCATTCTAATAACAAGAATTAAAGCGTGTCCGATATCAATATGAATGAGAAAACGAAATAAACTTACTCTGTGCAAGTAATTATCACAAATGAGAAGATTCTGAGGTGCTGGGACGGGGCATGTTAATAAATAGAGACGCTTTAGCAAGCAGAGAGCGCATATGAAGAGCTAACAATTGAAGACTTATTCTAAGACACCACTGTGGCACCGATATACGTGCACTTGGTATTTGAACACCTTCTTTGTGGATGGACACAATATCTCAGCTTTTCGTCGAAATCGGATCGAATTAGGAGAAATCGTCGCGGGCAAAGCACTGGGCCACTTTGCAGGCGATGTGGTCGAAGCCCATGATGGTCAGCACCTTGGTTGGTGTTTTGTCCCAGCCTTCAAGCGGGCTTTCCACAGGAATGAAGACAATCATCCTGGAAAATCGGAAACAATCTGTAAATGCCCTTCGTCACTCACTTGGTGTCGAGCGCTACTCACTTGGTGTTGGGCAGATTCATGGCCGTCTGGTAGTTGAGCATCGATTCGCTAAGAGCGGGCGAACGGCTGTGGCCCGATCGGCGCGGGCTCTTCTGGACAAAGTTCACGAAAACATCCACACGCTCCCGATGGGCCGTCGCCCAAGTGAAGCAGGTCGGTAAGGAGGCGCCAGCGCTGTTAGTGGCCGCGACTTGTCGTAGCAGTTCTTCAACTGGACAAGCTGGAAAACGGGAAAATATTGAGCTGAAACGGTCTGAAAGGGGCCAAACCAACGTTTCTTCACACGGACGAGCTGCAGGGAGTCCGCCTTCTGATGTACTGCTAGAGTAACCTGCGGCTCGACGCGCTGCAGGACTGCAGCGAACGCCACCGCTGCCTCCAGATATGTGACTGTTTTGCTGCCGATGCAGAGCCGATTCTCGCCGACGGGCGGCACTTCAATCACCACCAGATACCTGCCGAAGACTTACAGTAAATCTTGTCCGAATCTGCGACTGTTCTTAGTAGCTCACCGCTTGTGCGATGGGGTCACGTTGGCGCAAGCCAAGTCAAAGCAGCGCCACAGGGCCGAAACGATATGGGGACAGTCGATAGGTTGCGTCTCCTGAATCTTTCTCAGATTCTCCTCCGACAGCTTCTTGGTCGTTTTTAAGTAAGTGAGCAGCTTTGGGTCCACCGGCCTGGAACAAGCACCATGCAGTGCCAATGGGCACGTTTTCGGGCAAATCATCATACTTGCCACCCTTTTCCAAACGCCTCAGCTGCTTGAACACCTCTAGCGGGTGCACGCCGCTCTTTTCTACTCTCTCCGGATCGGTTAGCAACTGGATGACCAGGCAACTGATTAGCGAGGCGGGCGTGAGAAAGTTCAGCTTGTGGAGCTTGAGTAAAAGTCCCAAAATCTGCTGGGTGGAAAGCTTGAGCAGAACCGCATTCCAGACCTGCAACTGTGCCCTTAGAGCAACTCTGCTGGCTTCAGTCTCAGTTTACCTGTTCGCTGCCTGTCAAACTCGGCATCAAATGCTCCAAGCTAAACTCTGAAGTTTTCAGCAGTATTGCAGCTTCGGCTGGATCAACGCAGCGTCGTAGCTGCTCCGCCTGCTTGATAATCCTCAGCACTTCCAACTGGGCCTCAGTGGCGTCTTCGTCTAGCTTCCTGGTCAGGATGTAGTTAAAGACCGCGCTCATCACTGAAACTATCAATGAAACGCTTGCATTTGAAGAAAACTGATAAGCTTACGGGGGCTATTCGGCTTGACGTGTGCCAGCTTGATGAGATCCTTATGTGACCAACCGCATATGCGCTCGGACGCGGCAATGCTCCTGGCCAGCTCTTCGGGGTTCTTCGCTCCGTAGAACTTGCGGACCCCTTTGGCCACACTGGTAGGCAACTTACAGCCCGCCCTGCTGCGTGTGTAACAGCAAATGAAGCCAAAAAAGTCCTTGTCGTTGTCACTCAGCTCCAGCACTTTGGCCATTATCCGGTTCTTTTGGTCCGCAGTGGCTTCGGGGTTGGTCATCAACAGGGCCAACAGTTGGAAAATTATGGGGCGGCGGGGGATGCCGCCCTTAGCCATCGCCTTATTTATCAGGAGGAACAGCTGCTTCAAGTCGTCGTCCAGAGCCTCCTGCAGGACGGTCAGGCGCAGCGAGGACAGGTGAACCTGGTATATGTCCGGGTCCCCCACATGGAACTCTGGCATCACCGAGTTCATGTAGATCAGCCGTCTGAGCCTCTGGTCTAAGCTCAGCGAAGCAATCATGGCTGGAATTTTTTTGGGCGATTTTATCTCGAACCACTCCATTGCAGCGCTCGCAGTGTTTACTGAAGCACACTGACAAAAGCGCTAAAACCCCAACATTCCTACCTGCTGTCCTGATCGCTTTTTGCAACTTTTTCCGATGCTAAACAGTTGATTTGCAGATTTGTCAAATTCCCGCAGAACTAGCGCATATATCCTAGCTGACTCCTTGCTTAAATGACATGCGCAAGTCAGTTTGAGGTTACATTAATCAAAACAAACTTCTATTTACCAAAACGGGTATGTATTAGGTACCACAGATTAGGTACAGAGACAAGTACTTGTACTCTTGTACAAATACTGGTACTTGTCTCTGTTAGGTATTAGGGCTCGGAATCAAACTCGAACAATTCGAATATTCAAAAAGCGAATAATTATGTCTAGTCATAACTCGAAAATTAGAATACTGGAATACACCAACATTATCAAACTAACAAGGTGCAATTATCTTTATATGCACTTTGTATACTTTTATAAAATAAGTTATTCATATTCTACAAGCATTGAAACAAATAGTTATATATTTACAACCAAATGAAAATAATTATTTACCCTCCAGCAAATGAATATAAAATTACGTGTTTGTGTTCTGGTGACTCGCAATATCAACTTTTGCGCGGTGTTACAATTAGTGTGCCGACAAAGGCACTTTTTTATCCGTTGCGGCTTATTTAGAGTTTGATTCCGAACCCTAATGCATACCCGTTTTGGTAAATAGAAGTTTGTTTTGATTAACGTAACCTCAAACTGACCATAGATAAAGACAAGAAACTAACTTGCGCATGTCATTTAAGCAGGGAGTCAGTTACGATATATGCGCTAGTTTCCCACAGAGCTTGACTGTCAACGTGACATTGCAGGCAGGTTTTACATGCGGCAACATGGCTCAAGGGTCTATAACATTAGCACTTGCACTGGATTGCAAAGATATAAACGTGTATTTATAATAAATACTCTCCAATCAATGCCCTCCGTCGAGGGCACAGTCAAATTACAGTTACAACAGGCAAATCAATACATTAATTAGTTAGCTGGCTAATTAAATGACGAAATTGACAGTCTATAGTCAAGGGAAACGAGGCTGCTTTAACGGATGCACTGCTTCAAAGCGCTGGGGCGCGCCCTAACGGTGGCCTCCTTGTCTTTGGTTTTTAGAGGGTCCTTGACGAAGCACTTCCACAGTCTTAAAGTCTCGTCGGCGCCCGCGGACAGAATGGTGCTGCCGTCAGGCGACATGGCCAGATGCAGGACCCGGGCAGTGTGTCCCTTGAGGTCCGCCACCTGAACAACCCCCTAATTAGCCCCAGTAGCAGGAACCGGCTCGAATACTCACTTTAGTCATGGCTGGGTATTTCCAGATGGTCACTTCATTGTTGGCGAACCCGTGACCTGAGACCAGTTCCTTGTAGTTTTGCGCCCACAGCAGCGACGACACCTACAAGCAAGCACGCATCTCAACATCACCGCGCCCTGATCAAAAGAGGATCCTCTTCTGAGCTACTTACCTGGGATTTGGTGTCTATGGAGTGCACGCAGGTTCCAGTGTTGCAGTTCCAGATACGGATGTGTCGGTCGGCCGTGCCGCCTCCTGTGGCCAAGACATGAGCCTGCCAGGGACACCAGGCCAGAGCCTTAATGGCAGCCTGGTGTTGGCCGAAGGTGTGCAGGGGCGTGTTGTTGGAATGGCAGCCGCCGCTTACAGCCGACCACACATTGACCATGTTGTCGTTGCCGCCACTGGCTAAATGCCTGCCATCAGGAGACCATGCTAGTCCACAAACTTCCTGCGAATGCGCTAAAATCAAGGGGGCATTAGGAACGTCCAGAAACGCAAACTGACGACTTACCGGAAATGGTGGCCAGGACATGCTCTCTTTGTCGCACATCGTGGTGCAGGATTTGCCCACTGCGGCACCCGCTGGTCACCACATACGAGTTCCAGGCCAGCGAGCCGACTCGGGCCGAGTGGCCGGCCATTACGCGCAGCCTCTTCGCTCGGGCGCAGTCCCATAACTGAACCACGCCTTCGGTAGTGCCGACTGCTAGCGAATCGCCCTCCTGGATCCACGCCAATGAGCACACATAGTCGTTGCCCTCCAGCTCCAGCAGTTGCTCAATGTTGCCAGTACCTGCAACATTCACAATTAACCATGGGGCTGAGACTAGAGACTCACCTTCACTATTACCAGCGTTCCACAGATAGACATGCGAGCCTAAAGCGGCTGCCAGTACATTATTGGAGCCCCAATCCATGAGATTTAAGTAGAAGTCGTCTATTATGTCTGGAGCATCCAGGATTCGGTCCGGAGCCTGCGGAATGTAGCGGTTAGCAGCCTTGACTGATGCGGGCGTTCTGGTGTGCGAGTAGAGCACTCGCATGGGGTTCTGAAAGCCTTCGGAGGCCGCTGGGGCCTTCTTGGCATAGGAAAGCACCCGCTGGTTGCAGTGCAGGTTCTCATTGAGCATTCGCTTTAGCTCCTTTTTTGCTGAGCTCTCCTCTTGGTTGGGGTCCTGGGACAGCTTATAGTGAGCCAGGTCCAGGTTGCTGGCCACCCGCGACGGTATGAACCGGTCTCCTGCCGGCGTTCTACCAGTTTTATTCGGTGTCGGCGTCTTAGATTTTCGCAGCGGCGTCTTACAAGGAGTTTTTGTCACGCTGATACTGGACGAGGAGAGCGAGCGCTGCTTGGACAAGTTGAAACTGTTGCTGGACATTTTCTTGCGTTCATACCGCGGCTGCGGCCCTTTTGTAATGGGGCCATCCAAGCTCAGCACCGTATTTACGTCGTTCCAGAACTTAAACTGCGACATTGCGATTAATGGGGCTTAATTTATGTTTTGCTGTACACACTAGTACGACCGTTGGCATTTAAATGAATGGCGTATTTCAGACCATAAATCATTTCAGGCTTGTTGACGTTGACGCTCCATGCAGCGTTGCCTCGTTTGACTCGAAAGCCCTTTAAGGGCGAATTGTACATATAATCAATTTATTAAAAAGGAACTGGGAAGTCAACAATTTTTCCCAGTCGTAGGCCCAAAACCCCTAAAGGGGCAGTTTGATTAAAAAACATTTGAACGCATTGGCTGGTAAAACTGAGGCCTGGAAGCAAGTCGGCAACTGAGCCACCCCCATGTGAGCCAAAACGTCACTCTACTAGGTTAAGTTTGTTTGTGCAAATATTTTCGTAGGCGTATTTTGTTTATTGAAACAATCTCGATAAGATCGAGCGGTTTTGTTTTATTGACGAAATGCTCCCCAGGACGGGGAGAGTGTACCGAGTCCCGCCACGGACCTGACTAGGGGCGGCCCCCTTCAGCTATGCCCTTCAAGCTGAAGCTGAAAAAGTCGCGGCACTACAGCGTCGTGTCCAAAAGCCTCTTCGTCATCTCGGTGGAGATTCTGGATGGTACCAACGTGGAGTGCACGCTGTCCTCGGAAAGCACCGGCCAGGACTGTCTGGACATTGTGTGCCAGAAGTTGGGGCTCAATCAGCTCAAGTTCTTCGGGCTGCAGTACGTGAGCTGCAGCAGCGACGGCTCGCTATGCTGGCTGGAGCTGGAGAAGCCAATGAAGCGGCAGCTGGACAAACACGCCAGAGGCCTCTCCGTCTATCTGCGTGTCATGTACTACGTTATATCGGGAGTGCGGCTCATCACCGACGAAGTGACCAGGTACCACTATTTCCTGCAGCTGAAGCAGGACGTGATTGAGGGTCGGTTGGCCTGCACGCCCCAACAGGCCGTCGAGCTGGCCAGCTACTCAATGCAAGCCGAGTTTGGAAACTTTGACTCTGAACGACACACCGCTCTCTACCTGAAAGATTTCCAGCTGTTTCCCAAGACTTTCACCGATCCTGTGCTGCTCGAGTCCCTGACGGAGGCGGCTAGCAGACAGCACGCCGCCCTTCACAATCTACCTCAAAGCACCGCCGAAGAGTACTACATTTGCGCCTGTCAGCGATTAGACGGCTATGGAGACGAGGAGTTCCATGTGAAAGACAAGGCGGGGAACCAGGTGGTCATTGGAATTGGCCTGACTGGGGTAGCTGTCGCTCATGTGGACCGAAACCCCAAGCACTACCGGTATGCAGTACTAATCATTTAGCCCCTTTTGAGGACTTTAAGCAATTAAGCATTTTCCGAACATTCCAGATGGTCGGACATCAGCAACGTGATCAACCACAAGAAGGAGTTCATTGTGGAGTCGGTGGGCGGAGTGGACAAGGCGGAGTTTCTCTTTGGAGACGTGGACAGTGCCAAGAACGCGTGGCGCTTCTGCGTGCTGCAGCACATGTTCTTCCGGCAGTTTGAGGCGAATAGCGAGGCCGAGCCCTGCAGCAGGGAGCCGCCGGGCTTTCAGCAGGCCAACGAGGTGAGTAAGCCACGCAGTTGCAACTCTGTGTTGACATTTGGGTTGTAGGACGCGCGCGAGATGGAGAGCAGCGAAGACATTGCGCCCCAATGGGAGGTGCCGCAGCGCGCCCAATCCACCTCTTGCTTGGACTTGCACACCTCCGACTTGGACAACCTGCGCAGCCTGCTTCCCTCGTACCGGCCCGCGCCCGACTATGAGACCGCCATACAGCAGAAATACCGGAATTCTTCCAGTGCCTTGATGCCGGTTGAACCGCACGCCTCTGCGTACAGCTCGCAGCCGGAAATCCACCAGAGCGCCCACTTCCGGTACCCGGACATCACGCAGAACACCTTCAACAACCAGGGCTTCATCGAGGCGCCGTTCGTCGTCAAGGAGAACCGCCAGGTCAACTTTGATGGGGTGGGAATCGTGCATGTGTACAAGCAGCCGCCGCCCTACCCGGCCAATCGGATCGGCTCCAATTCCACCCCTGATCTGGCGGGCATCTCGCAGCAACAGCCCCCGGCTGGGTTCTTCGTCAACAATCTGATCAGCGGCTCCAGCCCGGACCTGGTGTCCGGCGACAGTCGCTTCCTGAAGCAGCAGTATGCGGAAGCGTACCCGAACCCGATCCATCGCTCCCACAGCTACTTGACGCAGCCACACAGCAACTACGAGAACATCTCTTCGGTGCTGCAGCAGGCCGTGATCGTCGAGAACCCGAACATAACAAAACACATCCAGAAGGTCTACGACGAGCACGGCAACATCATCTACTGCATGCCGGCCAACATGAAGCAGCTGCTGCAGAGCAACCGGGGGTTCGTGGTGGCGCGCAACCCTCAGCTGACCAACTCCTCGGAACCCATCTATGAGAACCTGCCTAGACCCTGGCAGAACGAGGGCAGCGGAGCGGAGGCTCGCAGTCGGGCACAAAGCGTCCATTCGGCGCCCGATGCCGCCCAGACCTTGCAGAACCAGCCCTTTGAAGAACCGGAGCGGGAGAACGTTTACGCCAATGTGGGGCTCAGCCCTGTAAGGCAGGAGCCGGCCTTTGCGCCGCCCCTTGAGTCTTTCCGCGACAGTGTCAGTGAGGCGAACAGCAGCAAGACAAAGAAGAAGCGCTGGGGACTGCTGATTGGCAAAAGCAAGTCGGAGGAGAAGGTAAAGAGCGCCACGTTGAAGATGGAGAAGAAGAAGGACGAGAAGGGACAGGGAAAGCATCGCTGGTCCACTGGGCAGGCGAAGTTCAATCCGCTGCCGCCCTCCATCAGCAAGGAGGCCATGGTGGGTGGACCGTGTTGGTCACGTACAGTGTCTAATCAAATGGTGCACCCTTCTAGTGCCAGCTGCTGGAGAACAAGCTAGCCGACAGTCAGCTGTTCTTCGAGTTTGATAAAATCCCGAAAAAGAAAGAGAATGCTGGTTTCTCCACGTCGCTGCTGCCCGAGAACGCGCCCTTCAACCGATTCAAGGACGTGCTGCCCTACGAGGACAACCGGCTGCGGCTCACGCCCACCAAGGGCAACAAGTACGGCTACATCAACGCCTCCCATATCACGGTAAGTGGGAAAAGTGTTGGAGGAAAGCTGCTCGCATAGACACTTGCAGGCCACGGTGGGCAGCAAGCAGCGCTTCTACATCGCCGCCCAGGGCCCGACCCGCACCACCCTGCCGTACTTCTGGCAGTGCGTGTGGGAGGCCGAAGTCTACTTGATGGTGCAGCTCACCGACCATACAGAAGATCTCACGTACCTGCCCGACTCGGATGAGCGATGCGTCAACATCGGCAAGGTAAGTGGCAAGTTGGGTGGCCGAAGCACTCACCCACTGGGCCCCACTTAGGACTACCAGGTGTGGTGGGAGTTTTCGCAGAAGACCGGCCACTGCATTACCAGCAAGATCAGACTGTGTCAGGTAGCGTCGCGGCGTTACCGCACCATGTGGCATCTGCACTACACGGATTGGGGCGACCAGGGTTGCCCTAATTCGGTCGCCCACTTTCTCGGTTTCCTCGAGGAGATGCAAGGCGTCTACCAGCACTCGATGAGCGAGATCCCGCCCGGCCACAACAAGAACCCGCCCATTTTGGTACACTGCACGGCGGGCGTGGGCCGGACGGGGCTCACCATCCTCAGCGACCTGCTGCTCTACACAGTGGACCACAACCAGGTGAGCGCGGAAATCGGTTAAAAGCCGACCAATGTTCGATTTGTCCGACTGGTTGCAGGAGGTATGCATCCCAGGGGTGGTGGGTCTACTGAGGCAGCAGCGCCCCCAGATGATCCAGACCATTGCTCAGTACCGGTTCGTCTACTCGCTGCTGATTCACTACCTGAAGCAAACTAGATTAATTTGACGCGCCATGACTTTGTTTAGGAGATTTCATTATATCGTTTGTTGCTCTGTAGCTTTGGAGGGTACGCCAAAAATACCCAGGGTGTGTGTGAGTGGGAGCACGTGAACATTTTATTATCCTTCAACTAGGGTCTGTACAGCTTTTCTTTTCTGATCTAACCAAGAGGGTTGAACTCGGGGTTGGAATCGAACAGCCATCCTGTCCTCATGCAGTAACGCACCCAATTCAGCCGGAACTTAAAAAAGGACAGTTTGTCGTTCGCAGTCTCCTCAGATTTCAGTAGGCCAATCCGGAAGATCAGGATGGCCAGGTCTTTGAAGGACGCCGTTAGGAGCAGTGATTGGGCGGCAACCTCCCCTATGATTGCGCCCAGGTACTCAGGGTGGCGCGAGACGCTCCGCAGACCTTTTGAGGGAATCAGCAGATGGGGACCTACTGGAGTTGAGCCCACGCAAATGTAAATCGACTGAGCCCTCACTGTAGTAACAGAGTTCAGGTGAAGGCTGGACCGAAACCATAGGACTGGGGCTCCCTGCAACTCACTTTCAACTATTTCCGGCTAGGGAACGCTTGTTGGGGCTGCGCCCCGTCGGCGTCAAACTCGTTGTTCGGCGCCTCGAAGGCGAGTTTGAGGGTCGACCGAGGCTTTCGCGTCTAATACTTTTAGGCCTGCCAGGGCTACGCTTACTTGGGGACTTTGGTTTCTTCGGAGACCTTTGCTGCTGTGTTGCCAGGGCTCCATTCTAAAACATTGACTTGTAGCCACCTTCTCCAGCTTTATTGGGCTTCGCCCTTTACCTGAAACTGCTCTGGTTGAGTCAAGAAACTGACTAAAATCTAAGATAAAGACTGAAAATAAATCGCAAAAGAACATACCCCCTATGCATAGGGGGGATATTTTGTGCCGGTAGCTGCATAGATAAAGACAAGTAGGGGTAGGGTAGCTGCTCAGCACATAGATCCAGACGAGTAACCGGCTGTACCATAGAACATGTTGTCTTTATCTATGCCATAGAATAAGGCTGTACAATGAAAAAATAAACAAAAGAGTGGAACGGCGTCAACACAAAGCAACACGCTGATTGGTTAGGCGAGATTGAGTGGGTGGGATGAGCGCCAGCCCATTGGCTGACCTTTGTTTGAATCGCACCCTAATGCAACAATTAGTTAGCCCTTAACAGGCACCTTACTCTGATGATTCAAACACAAAAGCCCGAAATTCCCACATTTTCGCGCAAACTAAACAAACATAAATTTCATTGCATCAGTCTTTATCTATGAATTGTATTTTGATCTATTTCTTGCAGCTGGCTGTGGCTCCACAGATCGCAGAGTAACCTCTATGATCTGTGCGTGGCCCTAACCTCAATCAAACAGAGCAGCTTCTACCAGTGGAATCAAAAAAGTTGGAGCAGAAAATCTTAGCGTAACGCTACATAGCAACAGCCAAATAGCTGAAATCGAGCAGCTGGAAAAATGTCGCTGATGTTCCGGTAGGTGCCAAGCGCTGATCTGAGGTTTTTCGATGAGCGATGTTACATAATGCTTGCAGGTTAGCTGGTAGGAGATGGGGCCCCCAGCTCCTGCAGCTAGACTCTGCCAGGGTGCTGAGCCAGGCCAGGACCGTAACCATCAAATGCGCCCCTGCAGTGGCGCCCCGTGACGAAAGCCACGACGAACGCAACATGAGACTGGTTCGACCTCAGTCGCCCCATTTGACCATTTATAAGCCACAATTGACGTCTATGCTGTCTATCTCGCATCGAGCTACAGGTGAGAGGAGATAATTTGAATGAAAAACATTACAAATAACTACGTTTCGGGACGTGGGGCCAAACGCCTAGTTGTTAAGGGGCTAATCAATAGGAGGATATTAAAGTTTAATATTGAAAAATTCATAAGGATTCAGGGCGATAATTATAAGAGAACAGATTTTTTTGCAACGTCCGTATACGCGATTAAGAAAAAATGCCCAAAGCGTTATGCAAAACCGACAAAACGCTCCCAAACTAAAACCCATATAAAAGTTTCAAGCCACGCCACTGCATTGAGCGCTTTGATGCACACAAAAAAGTTGATATTCACTTTTTTGATAAAATCAATAATAAGCGAAGTACAGCCGATTTTAGGGCCATTTTGTTCGAAATTGGGGATTTTCTTGAAAAATCATGCGGACTGGATTTATTGCCGATACAAATCTACCCATTTCGGACAAAAAATTAGAGTTTTGCCCGAACTTTCTCCTCCTTAAAGAGACGCGAAAAGCACAGTTTTCGCAAAATTTTGTTGCGTTCATTCCATGTTGGAATGCCGTTTGTCGATGATTTGCAACTTGTCTTCCCATTTTTCCCGTAATACGTTTCGGGATCGCACCCATTTTTCATTGTCCGCATTGAGGACAGCGACAGCACGAATGCCTCGAAGCCCACACAAACTACCCAAAAATTAACCAGATTTATCAAGCAAATTACACATTCCTCAAATGGGCTTCGGGAGCTCGCGCGATTAATAACTCTTAGTTGTTGCCCCATAAAAATGGCAATTCGGGTGTTTTGAAGACTCGTTTTTTCTCTTCAAATTGCTTCTTATGACGTTCTGGTTTGGGGTTGGAGCCGGAGCTCGATGAAGGAAATTAAAAACTCGTAAGAATTTTCCAAAAAATTTCAACGGTATGAAACTGTCGGAAGCTAAGGAAAAAACGGGGGGTTTGTAGGCGGTTTCCGTTCAGTCAAATAATCGCAAACGTCTGCGAGCGGCTAAAAATGTTTGCAAACATTCTGAAACTCCGAACCTATTGCTTGGCCATTTTTTCCTTTGCACAAGAATTTCGGACATTCACGCAATCAATGTTATTAAAACCGTATTTCCGTGAGATGTTTCACTTTGCATAATTCCCGAGGTTTTCCTCATCGGCATTTGGCCCCAATTTTTTTTATTAAAAAAGGAACAAAGGTTTTTGATTCCATCTGGATTCGGATGATGAAAACGGTGGCAGCAGTGAAATTGATTTTTTGCCCTCTTGACGGACGAAGAATTGAGCATTTATCGACAGACACAGGAAATTTAAGTTCGACTCGTTCTGAAGAATTTAAAAAAATGGGAGACTTTAGATGCAATTTTTGAACAATGTTCCATAGTGTCCTTCAAGTGGCACCTTTGGTCCTTTCAGCAGGATTTTCACTCCGCAAGTGTTTGAAAAGTGAAGAAAGCCCTCTTCATAGAATCGAGAAAATTGGATCTTCAATACAAGAATCCATTCAATTGAAAGATTAAGAAGATTCGATGCTTTACGCTCTAATCGCTACCAGAGTATTTTTCATTCAATTCTCCAAAGGAGAGTGGAATGAAAGCGGACAAATCTAAGTGCAAAAAACGCAAAGAAGGAGAATTGTCGAAAAAAAATGACTACATTTTCTACAGGTTGAGCGTGAAGATCATCAACAGAAGAATGACGTGTTTAAAATGATTCAATGCGTTGAGTGAAACTGAAAGGAGGAAGAAAATGAAGGCGGTTCGCGGAGCCAAACTTGTGAAATTCATATTTGGATCTTCAAATGTGTTCACAGCTTTGAAATCAATCAAATTTGCCTTCAAACTGTTAGAAACGATCTTCATTTTCTTTACCCAAAGGAAGAATCGGAAAATTTTGAACTGAAAACTTTGAAAAGAAAGAAGCGAAAGAGATGAATATGTTTTTGGAAACACCCTGTCCATGTCATTATTATGATAGAACAACAGTTTTTGATCGATTTTTTAAGATTTATTACGTAATTAACTTTCGAAATCGTTTATCGAAGCACAAGCCGAAGCGACAACGCTGCCTGTGAGATGACTACTGAAAGTCCGAGACAGCTTTGGAATGGGAAATGTTCCCTAATTAAACCAGAATATTCGAGTATTGCCAAACGGCTATATGAAGCAAGCGCGACGCGCCTTTGTAAGTTAGTTAGTGAACGGACTATTAACCAACGTTAAATAGTAGTGCGATTATTGTTTATAATTCGGGCTGTACTAAATTGTGTTTATAAACCGAGCGGGTTAATGGAATATTTCGAGCCCGAAAAACGTGACAATAATTTAATCTGAGGCAGACACCAATACTTCCAAAGTGTGTCTGCTTCAGTAGATATCGTGTGCAAGAAAAAATGTTTTATTTGCTATTTCATCAATTATTTTGAGAATATTCGCAAAGTATTCACGGCAGATCTACTGTAAAGACAGTAGATCCGGCAATACTGGCTGATTCAGAGCCGGACTGGGCCTTTGAGTTGGAAAAATTCCGACTCATGGTGTGTTTGCAGGAATGGTCCTGACAGGCTACACGGTGCTCTTTAGTATGGCAGCCGTCTACTTGGATTGCCCCCTGGAGCACTACATTGAGCAGCTGAGGTGCGCCGAGATCGGCTTTGGTTCCATCTATGCCCTCAAATTCCTTATCGCCTTTCCACTCACTTATCATTTCTGGAACGGGATCCGGCACCTGATCTGGGACACTGGCAAGTTCCTGACCATCCGCGAAGTGTACGCCACTGGCTGGGCCATGCTGGCGGTCGCCTTTGCCACCGCCGCTGTTGTTTCCGGGATGAGTTTTTAAATGTTTTTTTTGTTAATTTTGTGCAAATAAATGGAGCGAGTGGTTGAATTGGGGCGTTTTTTGTTCGGGGGGGGGGTGCGCCACTGGCGCGGGCATAAACCGCCGATAAATCTCTCGAGTGTCCGCAGCAGGCCTTGAATTCATTTCCGGCCCATTGGATTGGGGTGCGCTTGGCGCAGATGCGACCACGTGGCAGGTCAGTACCGGAACCAATGGGGGCTCGGTAATGGATTCTGTCCTTGAAAAGCGTGCGACACTGACGGACAAGCATAAACTGGTCCATGGGCGGCTGGATGATATAAATAGGTTTGTTCGCATTTCATCCTCGGGCCGTAAAATATATGGCGAGTTCTTCAAATTCCTGCGCACGGTGCGAACGGCCGGCAGGAGAACAGCAGGGGCAGTCGAACTCGTCGGTTCAGTCTTTGACCAGCTTCCGTGTAACGGGAATCGAAGATCTCCGATCAGGCCGATCATCAGCTTGTCCACGTGTTTTGCCATTTTTTCGACGACTTTCGGTCTTCCGGCGCGCTCGCTTTCACGTGTGATTCCACCGTGAAAAATCGACTGCCAATTTGAGACAGTTTTTGCATGTTTGCAGCTTTGTAAGTATTCACCGACTGGAGCTCGAAGGGGTCCATGGAGCTCAGTGCGGTCCTGTTACCAAACGACTATCCGCAACCAGTCATACAATGACCGGCGAGTTGGCGTCAATTTTCAAACTTTCCTTGATTTCTGACCTGATTGTCATGTTTCCCCTTCCCCCCATGTGAGCAAAGTTAAATTGAGTTTACATGGAACGGCCGTTATTCGTCCCCGATTAGCATCTCCATTGCTTTTATTCCCCCCAGTCTCGGGCGGTTACTTTTCTCAGTCGATTTCCGCTCCGGATGAACGTCCCTAATCCAGTCCGACGGACGGAACCGATAGATCCTCATTTAGCGCGGCAACAATCCAGAGTCCCGCTTCGAAACGTGCCCATTCCGAGTGGCTTATTGGATTCGGTCCGGCTCTATTACTATTGTTTTTCGTCTGGATAATTTACTGGGAGATTGTTCCAGACTATCTGGATGACGGCGCTGGACATCTGCAAGCCGGCTTGAACTCGAAGGCTACCAGGTAAGTGCCCGGTGTATTTAGTTGAAGAAAAACGTTCATATACAGGGTGGTCGCAAGTTTCAAGGAGTCAAAGTTCTAAACGGTTCGGAATTTTTTCAACACTTCCAGCTCCCGGGAAAGCGAGTTTAATTTCGAGTTTTTTTGGTCTCTTGAACATTTTTTGTTAAACCCCCGAATTTCCAGAAAAATGCCCCAGAAGGTCCGTGGCGACTCTCTCTCGTAGCAGCAGGCACTTGTTCAAAAACCAATTATTTTGACTGTTTGCGTTAGTCACTTGTCAGATTATTTCGCCTGTATCTACTGTTAACGTACGGTCCATCATCTAATGACATTGAAAGTCAAATTACTGTAGCAGCAATCGAGCGCAGATCGACGTTCGGTAATTCTCCATCCCGTTCTATTCAAGCATGTGTGACAGAAACACACACATCCCGAGCTTGCGGCGTCAACCACTAGTCAGATTAGTTTGAAATCATACAGGACGCAAGCAAATTGGCGCATATCGACGTACGGCAATTATCCATCCTGCTCGCTCTGGGTAGTCAAGATAGGCCTGGGTAACACTGTGTTGAGTTGCGCTTTTGAATTGTTGCCGCTCTCTGAGTTAATGAGTTTTAACTCATTGGTTAGTGGTTTAACTCATGGCCGGTGGCGGAATTTTAGCATCTAACAGAAAAAGCCATCAACATATTGGTTTTGTGCATTCGATTGCTTGAAACTATTTGATTTATAACGGGAAAATTCGAAGATTTTGAAGAAACATCAGAGCGATGAGGATGACTAGTTCTCCAAATATTGATTACACGCTTTTGCGTTCTCTGGTCGTTTTTTGAGAAAACCTAAATGTTGTCGAAAAAGAAACAAGATAACTGTGTCTCGCTTTTGTCCCAAATTCAAGGGTAAAACGGGTATTCGATAAAAACGATAAAGAAGACCAAACTGTAAAGACGACGACTTTTCTTGTAAAATCCATCTTTTAACTTTTTTGCATAAAAGACTCTTGTCCAATTAAATTTATAATTTTCACAAAAATTACCTGAAGAGTGTCAGTATTTTAAGCAAAACTAAAAATAATACGTTTTTTGTATAGAAATAATTGCTTAATAGAAACTGCTGAAACTGGAACGACCTGAAATTTTAAAGAAACTTGAAAAATCTTCAGAGCCATGTAGGTGGCGAATTTTTGGGGGTAATATATTACGGTATTAATATTATTAATTTTTGGGGGTACGATTGCATGTTTTCCATAATTTCACGAGTCCGAAGGACGAGTGAAATTTGCAAGGAAAACATGCCAGAGTGAAAAATTATATGGTTAATTTTAA